TTCACTTGGTTAGTATTCGGCATTTGCTTTTTGAATGTTTTGTTTCATACGTGTCCGGTCAAATAGAGAATCGTCCATTGAAGAAATGCGATTTTAAACGGACGATTTAAGGTGATGTTTTGTTTTTTCTAGTAGTGGTTCTGTTATGATGATAGTTGTTGGTTCAATGGTTTTGCAGTGATGGTTGAAATGCCAATGAAAGAATGTGAGATATTTCATTTGAGTGAGTAGATTTTGAGAAGGTAAATATATTTCGCCAAATCCCTTATTGGATGATGCTAATATGTAAGTGAGAACTGAAATAGCAATTTTATTTATTTATTTATTTACTCATTCAGTACACTACAAAATAATAAGTTTTTTAAATGGTACATACATGAAAATATGTTTAAAAAAATAAGATATAGGACAAAATCATAGTGAACAACAGTTCGACTATAGTAGTAACACTAGTACACATAAGCAAATATAAATTAAAATCTAAAGTTTAGACACAACATATAATTGACAATAAGGAACAATTCAGAAAATCACACTCCCTATAATTTCTGATGTAATTGCAAATCGTTCTGTCCACAAAAGCTGTGAATTCATAATTCGTTCTGTGCGGGTGCTCATAAAAAAGTTGATGTTATCTGGTTCGTCTAATGGGGACCAAAAATAATATTGATTCCAATAATGTTCTGCAATCTATCCAATTATTCAGGATTTTGTAAAGAATAATGAGTAGGGCGTGATTCCGTCTCTGCTCAAGGCTCATCATCACACACACAGCAACAGTCTGATTTCAAAAGGTATTCCAGATGAAGGAAAGCGGTGTTTATATAGTAGGTATTTTAGAAACCTATTTTTGACGTTCTCTAGTCTATTAATATGGATGGTATAATGTGGGGACCAGGTGACGGAGCAGTATTCAAGAGTGCTGCGTACAAGGGCGTTGTAAAGACATGTAAGTACCTTTATGTCATTGATGTGTTTGGTATTTCGCCTAATGAAGCCAAGCAATCTGCAGCTTTTGACAACAATATTATCGATGTGCATTTGGAATATCAGTTTTTGATGGAACGTTACCAAGGTCGTTGATGAATTCCACATTATCAATTTGTTGACCACCAATCTTATATGTTGACATGTGAGGAGATATGTACTCTTGTGGAATGTTATTGATTTGCATTTGGATATGTTGATTTTCAGTAGGTTTGAAGAACACCAATAAGCAAATCTGTCGAGATCTGGTTGCAGTGGGTTGGAAGCTCCATTCCTAACATTATAAAATTTCAGGTCATCAGCATACAGGAGAAAGTGCGAGGAATGGAAGCAGGAGGAAACATTTTTGATAAACAACAGGAAAAGAACAGGTTCCATGTGTCCCCGAGGTGACCTTGACGTTTTTTGAGGAGTAGCCGCACACTTCAACCCTCTGGGTTCGATCTCCAAGATATGATTTGATCCATGCTAAATAGTTTCCAGAAATACCAATTTTTGATAGTTTTTTTATAAGGAGATGGCACACGCTATCAAAAGCCTTGGCTAGATGGATGGATGTAAATGGAGTCGACCTTGTGTCCAGCCTCAACGGAGGTTATTAAGAAGTTCTGATAGACTGCTAGGTTGGATGCAGTTGAACGGTTGCTAAAGAATCCGTGTTGTTCTGGTATAAGGTAAAGTCTATAGGTTTCGAATATTTCCTCGGTTAAGATTGATTCGAATACTTTTTCCACGGTAGTTCTCAACATCGCACCTATCTCCAGACTTGAAAATGGGAAGAAGGAGGGAAAACTTCCACTTTTCAGGAAAAAAGCCACAATCCATAAAGACCTTTGAAAAATAATGCAAAGGGGTAAGGCTAAGGAAGACGAGCAACCTTTCAGAAATATAGCTGGTAGTCCTTAGGGACCTGCTTTTTTGGATATGTCCAGCAGATTTAACTTGTCTGTAATTTCCTGTGTCTGGAAGTTATGAGATGATAGGTAGTATGTTGTATAAATTATTGAAATATAAAGCATTGTTTAGGTAGGTATCTATCTCAGGAATGTTTTCAATCACTATTCCATAAAATAAGTAGGTACCTAGATTTTTCAATATCTGTTTTCTCTTTTATCTTCTATTATCTATTCTATTCTCTTGTTTCTTTTCTCTTTGTTTCCCTATTAATTTCACTTGAATCATATTATTGATTATTAATTTATTCAATGATATTTTTCTTTATTTTTGCTTCTAGCATAAATTGCATTTTTTGCTTTTTTATGGTTTTGACAGCACCTACCCTACATGGGTAACTTCATGTTGGAAGCTGCAGAACCCAGACAGCACTTTATTTAAAGACGTCCCTACGTTATCCACAAACGTCATTTAGGACGTCTTGCTTACGTCTTCAAGGTTTCTTAAGGACATCTGGGAGACGTCATATGTTAAAAAACCCAACGTCTTTCAGACGTCTTCAATATTTCTAATATTTCGTTATTATTGCTCATTTATGACTTCAAATTTTTGTCTATACCAGACGCTAGGTTCTCTGAAATCATCTGAGGTTTTAAAATTGTTCTGACACTTTTCGAAATGCTGCTAGACCCATGACATTTTGCTAGACATTGTTTTAAAACATGCTAAATGACTATTGAAGTTGTAGAGTGTTCTAACTTGGCTTGAAAAGTTATGGAACATTCTAGAAGTTTTTCAGCAATTTATAAATTGTTATTCTTCTGACAGATTTTTAAGTATTTTAGAGCTCTATTGAAGCCTCAAAGTGTTTTAAATTGGTTCCAAACAGAGCTGTCAAAGATACCTACTTTTAAAAAGTATCTAGTTACAAGATAACTTACTTTTGGAAAAAGTATCTGGTTACTTTGGGTATTCAGATACTCATTAAAAAAAGGATCTTGAATAGGTACGTATCTTAAGTTACTTTTTAAGATACTCAATAAGATACTAATTAAAATATTTTTTATAGTTTGAAAATCCCAAATTCGAGAAGGTTCAATTTTTCTCGAGTATATTATAGGATCTCCAAATCAATACAGCTTCTCATACCTATCGGTGTATTGCTCCACATGAAAACTGTTTTCTTCAAATTCGAAAAAACCATTGTTGACAATATTTTCCTTATAAACAGGAATCGGGATAATCCAGGTATCTTTCGATCTAAACAAGATCGAAGTCACTTGAAGTTTGTTTCAAGCAAATGTCATCTGGTTTTACCAAGATTTGATTGGCCCTAATTGTTTTTTGACGCCTCATAAACAAACCTGATGTGATTACAATCAGTTTGTTCAGATCGAAAGAATACTTGTATTATCATGATTTTTCTTGTACAACAGGTACTTCAGCTTTACTGGCAAAACATATCTTAATAAGCTCTGTTCCAAGCGACATGAGAACCGTTCCAGAACCAGTAATTTCCAGTTGCCCACCCATTTTTCAATAAATTGAACGTTTATTCTACTTAATAATCGACTGAAAATTACCGTTCTAGACCGGTTCTCATATCGGTTTTAACACAGTTTGCAACCTGTCAGAAACAATCTGTCAGCTAAGTTACCGATTTATCTTGGAACGACGGCATTGAAAACATGTATGGGCGACGCTCGCTGACAGTTTGCAAACTGTCAGAGACTCTTGTGAGAACAGACCTACCATCTACCTATTACGGTTTAGCTATATATATATATATTCTATGCTGTTGGGTCGGGTTTTGGTAAACGTCTCAGGTAATTTCAATACTTTTCGTTAACTTAGATACTTTCCTCATTACCAATAATACCAATCTAAGATATTTTTCAGTATCTAGCTAGATGCTTTTACCTAAGTAAGTACTTATATCTGAGATATATACTTGTTCGTATCTAAGATACTTTCCGGTATCTAAGATACTTTTTTAAGATACAAGTTACAGCTCCTTCCAAAAAGTAACTAAGATACTAAATACCTTTGCCAAAAAATAAAAAGTAGGTATTTAAGATGCAGTAACTTAGATACTATAAAGTAATGATACTCTAAAGTAACTAAGATATTTTTTTCTGACAGCTCTGGTTGATCTAGTTCCAAAGAGTTCTCAGTGTCCTGTAGCATTTCAAATGGTTTCCAGTAACTTCCAAATTGATTGGGAAACGAATGTTCTCTTAAAAACGACCTTAAGCATAAGCGACCGACATTCAAGACGTTTTTTAGACGTCTGCTTACGTGTTCACATCTCAGAGACGTCATATGTTACAAAACCCAACGTCTGCCTAAAAACGTCTTTATAATAATATTTTTCTAAGACATTCTAACGATATCTTAAAGACGTTTTTTTCTGGTCTTCAGACGCAATGCCAGACCTAAAGAAGACATCTTTAGACTTTGTGTGCCGTCTGGGAATTAATTATTACACTACAGGTGGGTTCATACAGCCACATAACATAACATGAGAAATAACATAACATAAGATAAAAAGTTGACCTTATGGAAAGAAACGAAATTATTTCGATTCTATTTAATTATTTGAAATACTTATTGGAAGTAAAAAAAAACACCAGTAAATAGTGAAAAGAACAGCGATTAAGCGTTCTTATTTGATCTTGATTATAGAAACTTTATAATAAATAAAAATCAATAATAATTATATTATAATAAATAATAATTATTATCATCAAAAACAAAAAGAAAAAAATCTTGCATCGGCCGGGAATCGAACCCGGGCCGCCCGCGTGGCAGGCGAGCATTCTACCACTGAACCACCGATGCTGTATTAAATAATCGGTTATTCCGGAGAAAAGGAAAAAGCATATCAACGTAAAAAAAGATTGGACCATCGACCATCCAATTCCTCGATTCTAAAAATTTCCAATGCAGAACAGAGATTATAAGAAATTAAACCGACTATAGGCTCCGATACTTGTTTAGAGTAAAGATAGATCAGAGGCCGAGATTTTTGATTCTCGAATAGTTGGAGCAAGTGGAGCAAAGCAGCCAAATGAAAGCGCTACGTCAAAACTGTCAAATGCCACGATCAGCTGTAAATTGTTTTTGTGACCATAACCACATTCTTTTACCGGTTTTTTTTTGGTGGCGTTGCATCATAAACTTGATGTTATTTTAATTTTAAGTAATTTTGTTTGCCTCTGAGTATTTCAATAAGTGTCTAAACATCTACCTACACTATAACTCCTTAGGACCTTTGAGGTAAATCATTTTTGTTTCCTAATAAGTTCTAGACAATAAAAAACATGTTTCAGTTAAGATAACAAAAATGTCTACAACAGACATAAGTCTGAACGGCTTAAGCCTCGACGATCACCTGGAAAATATGGTGTGCAACATTTGCAGTCGCCAGTTGAACGTGTGTCCAATTTTCTTCAGCGAAAAGTTTGGCGATATTTGCGGTAGATGCTGCGCTGGTGATGGGTTCAACGAATTACAACCTCTCCTGAGACAACATACATATGAAAAGTTGATAGCGAAACTGACATTTTCTTGTACTAATAAGACTTATGGCTGCGACGAAGTTGTTAAGTTTGATGAGATACAGAAACATGAGAAATCGTGCAAGTAAGTATCATTTTCTAGTTGGATTTCAATGTAAGGGAGTGCGTGACGTCACTTATTGTTAGTTCCACATAATACCACCACAAGATAAAATAGCGCACTGTCTTTTATAAAGTTAACTGTAGCATTTTGCATCTTTTCTGTCACTGGCATTCAAGTCCAGTTATTCCAGATTTAACAAAAATGTGTTAATTATATGTTTCAAATAAAACCAAACTGACTTGGTAAAGCATAAATAAAAAAATAATTTTGATAGAGTTGCATAATAGGATCCTTCAGTGGTGCCATCTGTTGATGAAACGCTCGAATAACCATAAGTGACGTCAGAATCTCTTGGTGGTTACTAATATCAAATTTGATTTTTTTTTGGCTTTTTTAACTGTGTCCTTTATGTACCTATTTTTTCCTTCCAAGGGTTTCTTTTAATTACATTGCCATTTAAATAGTTAAATTTGATTATGCTAGAACGCCGGATTATCTCTTCTCAATTCTCATAGGTTTCAATGTATCAATTGCCCTCTTTACTCCAAACAATTTTCCCCCAATGCACAATGTCTTTGGATAGGCAACAGCAAACTAATGGGTGATCATTTAAAGATTCATAGAGATCAGTTTTTTGATCCGCCACAATTTCATTGGCCTAAAGACGGTGAAAATATGATTTTTTTCACAACTGTTGGTGAGTGAGGAGTGTTTAGAAAGAAACTTTCCAAGTCTATGGTAAACTTTTTAGGCAACCAAATAGTTACTGTAGTAATAAAACATGAGAATGAAAGTAAATTTGCTTGTGTAGTGATGCTTAATGGCAGCGATTTAGAAAGCCAGTGCTTTAGATATCAGCTGGAGTTGTCAGACAATGACAATAAAAACAATTCGTTGCTTTTACGGTAAATAACAAAAAAAAATTCGAAGCAAATTCATAACTTTAGCTTTTAGTCGAAATCGGTTGGAGCAGCTTTCAGGTTTTCCAGAAAATCTCCGATTTCCTGATATGGCCCTGGAAATTGATATTCTACAAATTTCAAGAATGCTTCAGTATCCAGAACGGGTTTATGCCAGACTTAGTATAGTAAAAAAACATAAAAAAGAAGTGGCACAAATTACAGGCAATGATAATGGAGATCTTACAATAGGTGGCTTTGCTGTCACTCTAAACAAGCAAAGAAATGAACCACCAGACGAAGACATGCTATCAGAACTTGAATGTCCTGTTTGCAATGAATTCATGGTACCTCCAATATTTATTTGTTCAATTGGTAAATGTTTATTACAACACAACTATTTCCAAATTAATCACATAATAAAATTCAGGTCACAGTATTTGCGATAAATGTCACAGTCTAGTGGCAGAGTGTCCCAATTGCAGAACCACTTTGGGCCAGAGCAGAAATTTTACATTGGAAAGATTAACTTTGAAGGTGAAATATCCATGCAAAAACAGAGAAATCGGCTGTGGATTTGTTACTACTTCTGATAAAATCAAGCAGCACCAAAGTGTTTGCGAATTGTCAGAGAATCATTGTATTTTAAAGTAAGTAATTGTTGGGTAAAATTATTTGAATTTATCCAAAATAACAAACACTGTCTTTAGGTGTGGTTGGAGAGGTTTAAGCCCTGGCCTCTACAATCATTTCTTAGCCAATCACGCCACCCAGCTAATCCAACACAACGTATCCATTTTCAAAGATGTCAAGCACGACAAGAACACCGGCCACTATTTCTTGTACGTTATGGGCGAAATGTTTTGTTTGTCCTTGAAAAATTGTGCCAAGTTTCTGGTGAAATTCAACATGCAACACGTCGGACATTTCGATTCTAGGCCACGGTACAAGTATGCCATAAACTTTGCCGCGTCTCAGCAAACAGGCAGTCCGAATTTATGCTTCACAAATTATTGTCAGAATTGGAATCCCAACTTGGCGGAAGCCGTTGGTCCTGGAGCAGTAAATATTCCAGGGGAAATAATGAAAATGTATATTTATCAGAATAAGTCGTATTATATTACGGTTCATATTTTTAAAGTTATCTACGATGATGATGATTGAATTACTTATTTAAGATTTTTTTTTTTAATTAGGTAATAGTATTTCCAAACATTTTTTTTTATATTTGCTTAGTAAAGTCCGCCGATGTTAATCTGATAGTCCAAAGGAATGTCAGCTGGTGGCACCCTACATTAGAACGCCAAGTCCCAGAAAATTGTTCGAACGGAAAATTGTTCGATTGGTAAATTTTTCGAATGAGAAATTGTTCGAAAGGAAAATTGTTCGAGAGGAAAATTTTTCGAATGGAAAATTGTTCGAAAAATAAATGTACCTACCTATACGCCTCGGCAACGCAAATTCACCAAAAATGTGAAAACCCTTTTTTAAATATAACAACTTGAAATTTAGGAAACTATAATCGCCTAGCAAAAATAACTCATTTTTTGTTCCCTTAAAATTAGATATAAAATCGCCAAGAGCATAATAAGATTATAAATAAGCGCTCATTAGCATATTAAGATTATAAATAAGCGCTCATTAGCATATTAATTGAGAAAATGCAGACTTACCCAAATTTACTGATAATAACCCGTCCGCGTAGTGCGATCTAATTCTTATAAGTTACTATTTCATCAAATGCCAAATCATTTTGAAAAATGTGAATCAAAGCAAAAAAATTAATAACATTTAAAAAAAAAATCGAAAAATTTCTTATTCGAACGATTTTCCATTCGAACAATTTTCCATTTAAACAATTTTCTGTTTGAACAATTTTCCGTTCGAATAATTTTCCGTTCGAACAATTTCCCATTTGAACAAGTTTCTGTTCATGCAATTTTCCGTTCAAACAATTTTCCATTCGAACAATTTTCCGTTGCCCTAGAACGCCAATGGTCACCTGATGTCACACCTGTTTTTGCCATAGGCTTTACCCCCTCATACGGAAAGTGTCAGATTAAAAACGGCGGACAATAGGTATTCCTTTATTTTTACTTATATTTGACATTGTCATTACAGATTGACCAGTTATTTTAAAGTTTTTCTTGAATTATTCTTTAAGCTGGAGTTTCATGCATCCGTTTTTCCGACGAAAGATGTCCGAAAAACATTCTATTCTGACATAATCGTATGAAAATATGTCAAAATAGAAGATTTTTCGGACATATTTTGTCGGAAAACGGATGCATGAAAATCCGGCGTTAGTCTTTAGTTATGATAAGTTTTACATAATGTAAAAAAGAAATAAAATATTAAAAATTCTCAAACAATTTTTTCTTTCTCCGAATGACAGTGAAAGCGGCCTTTTAATGACACTTGACAGGATCAAAAGTTGTATTTTTACTGCCTAGACAGTAAAAGTGGACTTTTACTACCTAGGCATTAAAAGTGACAGTGTCACAACGTTCCAGGTAATAATTTCACTCAATTTGGTATTTGAAATTGATGGTGACAATGACAATTGTCAAAATAATTTAATTATTTGGATAATAATAATGAATGAAATAAATATAAAAAAGATGTCCATGTGTGAATTTGAACATTCGGAGAAAAAATTATATGTTTTACATGGCAGAAAAGTAGATTTAATGCCTAGGCTGGTTTCCTAGCCTCGGCTATGAAACACCAGCCGCAGCATTAAATCTTGTACTTTTCTGCCTAGTAAAACAAATAACTATTTTCTAAACCTCCAAACATTTGTTCAAACTTGAATCCAGAGGTTGGTAACCAGAGCCGAACCAAATTAACTTACCATTGATTTCAATTTTTAATTAAGAGTTGGTCAATCACAATAATTTCAGAGCCCCATGACATCACGACAAACTCAGAAAATTCATCAAATTGAAAGTGTTAATGTGATAATTCCATAAATAAATAACAAATTATAGATAAATATGAGGTATATTTGATTTCTTGTATACATTAATGGCAATAATTAAATAAAAAAAACAACTGTTAACAAATCTCAATAGAACTCCATGTATACAATAAATATTTCAAAAATATATAAAGGGAATTAAAATAATTTGAAAATATTTGCTACTTACAAACAAGAATACACAATCCTCAACCTACGAGACAAAAACTAAAATGTATAAAAATCATGTATATAAAGACTTAAATTAGCTCAAAAAAAAAAATTATAACTTAAACTTAGTTGTTAACAATTTTTTAGTCTTAAGAATTTCAATTAGGCATGGCATCTGGATGTCTTTCAATTAACATGCCGACACCCTGTCCTCCTGCTGCGCAAGCAGCCACCAATCCAATTTGACCATCTTCCCTTACAAGTCTGTTGGCCGTATGCATAGCTAACCGCACTCCGGTAGCGGCGAAAGGATGTCCAATCGATAAAGAACCACCCCAAAGGTTGAATTTGTTTAGTGGTGGAGCACCCACTTTAGCTTTGCGTTTCATGTAACGTTGCGCGAACCATTCACTGTCCATTGCTTTGAAATTTGCAAGAATTTGACCTGGGAACAAATAATTAATTTAATTGGCAAAATTCTTCAAGTTATTTTACCTGCAAAAGCTTCATGGAATTCAAAAACGTCAACATCTTGTATTGTTAGACCAGCTTTGTCTAAGAGAATTGGGCTGACGTAAGCAGGTCCAAGCAACAGCTGGTCAATTGGATCTTGTGAAACATATGTAAATTGCCTCAAGTATGCTTTGGGTTTAAGCCCTAAAAATAATTGAGTTAAGACAGTTGTTGCATTTAGAAAAAAATCACTAACCCAACTCTTTAGCTTTAGTTTCAGTAGTAATAATACAGGCACTGGCACCATCAGTCAAAAACGAAGCATTTGCAGCTGTGACAGTACCGTGAGGCTTGATAAATGCCGGTTTCAATTTGGCTAATTGTTCAGGAGTGCCAACCCTGATACCATTGTCTTTTGTGATTTCTTTGTCGCTTCCAGGCACTTGAATGGGAATTAAATCGGTGAAATAGCCCTTGTCTTGAGCGTGTTGCGCTAAAGTATGCGATCTTAGAGCAAATTCGTCTTGTTCTTTACGAGAGGCACCAAAAGCTGCTGCCAATCTATCGGCAGAGTGTCCCATAGTTTCGCCCGAAGAGAATTCTGCTATGGCTGGAAGTTCAGGAACAAAGAAGTCTGGCCTAGAATTTTCAAGTAATAAGTATCTTCAATGCAAGATTGTTTTAAAAAGTTAAAATCCTACTTGAAGTTACTGAATGCTGATTGCATATATAAATAAAAAACAGATATATGAAAGTAGTAGATAGGCTTGGGTACAGACAATAAATCCAATGATCAGAAACTTGATGAGACATGCAGATATTGAACACAAGTTTGGAAAATCATGCATGTACCTACTTTATTGACTTGTGTAAGTTGTATTTTAAGATATTGACACCAATAAATTATCTATCTATCAAAATATTGACAATGATCCTTGAGTGGTTGCCAGTAGAAGTGGAAGCAAGGATGGTTTAAATCCACTTGTAAGAACAAAACAAGATCAGGAAAAAAAAAAACCAGAGCAGTTTTCATTCTGTCCAATGAAATTCACCATCAACCTGCCTTGAAACTGGTCCACACAATTCAACATACTTTCTTATCACAGAGTGAAGCTTTCTCTACAATGTCTACAGTACAAAACACTAACAACCTCTACAAAACACCAACAACCAGCCCCCAGATTCTACTTTACGAGTCGAGTCGGATTGTCTCGATATCGAATACGACAGCTCCGGACGTACCGTGTAATAGGTATCGAAATATCGCAAAATAGAAGCGCTGTTTTGACATTTCGATACGAATTACGACTCAACTCATAAAATAGAATCCGGCAGCAGGTTTCCACAAAACACCAACAACTGGATATTGATATTTGGCTAAATACTTCATACCAATAAGACATTTTGAGTAAAAATTCAAATGCTTTAAGTAGGAAAATTACCTTATGGTTGCCAATAAAGCCAATTTCTGCTGTATACTTTTGGCCTTGTTGGCTTTTAGCATTAAACTTCTCATTTTCCTGCTATGTCTGATTGGTACGTCAGACATGGACTCAACTCCTCCTGCAACAATCATTTCATATACTCCACTATTGATGAGGCCTACAGCTGTGGACATAGCTACATTAGAAGAAATGCATGCCATTGTTACTGTGTGGGCAGGAGTTTTATCGCTGTAACCTGCACACAGGGCTGCTTCTCTGGCTATGTTTGATGTTTTCACCTAAAGGAATCAAAGAGATGAAACATCACTCTGCTAGAGAATAAATTACGTCTTACCTCTTGTATAACACTTCCATAGATAACATAATCGATCATATCTTTGGGCAACCCAGTTTTTTGCAAAATGCCTCTCAGAGCCACTTTTGCAAGCTCGTGAGGCATCAACTTGGAATAATCCGTCCCGGATAGAAGGAAGGGGGTCCGCACCCCATCTACCAGCACGATATTCTGTCCCACAGGCTTTAAAGTTTTTTTCTCCCTCAGTTGACTACCTACCGAGAAGCTTCTTACCGCGTTCAGTTGTAAGTTTTTCGCGACGGCTAGGGAGCCTTTCGCCAAGTTTCTGGGTAAGTAGGCCATGGTTGATGAACAAGCAAATTTTGAATTTAACTAAGAAGTTACTGGATAGAATTAAGAGAAATTAAATTAAAATGATAAATAAATGGACCCTGCACCGGTGGACTCTGGACTTTGAACTCTGTCTAGTTTGTGTTGCAGGAGGGGTTTTTTTTTGCACTTTTGCCTTTTGCATGGAATTTGTCGCAGATGTGTGAATACGCCATAATTTGACATTTTGTGTAAACATGCTGTTTGACGTGAAAATTGACGTAATATCCTTGCGTTCGGTATTTTGTTTAAAGAGCAGAGTGTGCTGAGCGGAGCCGTAACGTAATCACGTGACCAGCGAGCGAACAGAGCAGTTGAACGCTGTTTCAAAGTGCCAGAAATTTTGATAAACGCATGAGCCTGCACCGAGGACACTTTTTAAATAAACGAACGGTGAATTCAAGCTCGGAGAACTCAGATCAAAATACCGAACGCACGGTATATAGTACGTTCCAATACCACGGAGAGAAGATTGGAGCAACAAGCTAAGTCACTTCGTGAACCCAGAACAAAAAGCATGATATCTTGATATTGGAACACCTAGAATAGTTCCAGATGAATCCTGACTGACCTAGTTCTACGGGTTTCGTTTCCTCTTCGATTTTTTCGTCGAATTAACTAGTAAGGAATCAGTTCAGACAAATGGCTAGTTTGTGCTAGTTTTGATTCGAAATTTGCAACGGTTCTGGGATTGCACAAAATTCCAAAACAGTTCATCCTCCAGAGCAAGATCTGAGTTCTAGAACAATCCCAGAATTGTTCCGGTATTTTGGTCTGAATTCTCTGAACTTGAATTTACCGTTCGTTTATTTAAAAAGTATGCTCGGTGCAATATGGTTCGTTTATTAAAATTTCGAGCGCTCTGATACAGCGTTTAACTGCTCTGCGCGCTCATTGGTCACGTTATTACTGCTCCGCTTTAGCACGCTCTGCTCTTTGAGCAAAATACCAAATACAACCTAATTAGACAAAACGCTGTCAACTCGATTCGAAACGATTGACATTTAAGGCCTATCCTCAATCAATCTGGTAGCGAAGTGGCACTTCGGCACGCATGCTAAGGGTGGGTATTATAAAGCTACTCTGAGAGTTAACTTAAAGTTAACTTCTGGAATAACATGTAATTCATAAAGTTAACTTCAAGTTAACTGTCAAAGCAGTTTTATAATACCCGCCCTAAGACAATGTTGTTTTACGTTGACATCCTCAATTTAATTTCGTGCTAGCATGCACGCCGACTCCGAAGTGCAAGCTTGCAAGCTGCAAGATTTTTCGATGCGTGACAACTTATGTCATGCGCAGTACATTACCAGTACGTTCGGTATTTGGATCTGAGTTCTTGGAGCATGAATTTACCGTTCGTTTATTTGAAAAGTCTACTCGGTGCAGGCTCATTCAGGTTTGTTTATTGAAATTTCGAGCCATCTGAGCTGCTAGGCGCGCTCGCTGGTCACGTGATTACGGCTCCGCTCTGCATGCTCTGCTCTTTGAACAAAATACCGAACGCAAGGTAAATTACCTACCATTACATAGATTGACAGCATTTAGGATGGGTATCAATTATCCAGCACGCGTGCCGAAGTGCCAATTCGCTACTAAATTGATTGAGGATGTAGCTTTAGATCAGTGACATTTACTCAAAATCTGTGCGAAACGGCTGAGTTCGGCTTTGCACTCCACGGAGCGGAACGGTATGAGGATGGATATCATGACGTCATACGCGGTCATAAGCCCAACGCAAAAGAGAACACTCTGAGAGTTAAGACAAACAGGATCTCATCGTTTCCAACGCACTAAGGGCGGGTATTATAAAACCACTTTGAGAGTTAACTTAAAGTTAACTTCTGGAATTACATGTAATTCAGAAAGTTAACTTCAAGTTAACTGTCAAAGTAGCTTTATAATACCCGCCCTTAAAGTTAACTTCTGGAATTACATGTAATTCAAAAAGTTAACTTTAAGTTAACTGTCAAAGCAGTTTTATAATACCCGCCCTAAGAGTTTACAGAGTGTAAAGCCGAACTCAGCCATCGAGTGCGGCTTCACTCGGTAAACTCCAAGTTCGACTAGTTCTATTTCCTGTCCGATTTGTTCGCAGTGAAATAAAATCAACTTTTCCTTATTTAAGCATATGCTCTACGACAATCCTAAATTATGTGCGAACCAAACTAGTCCGGAATCAGTTCAGACCAATTCAGACAATGGCTTTGTTTTGGTTCCAAATTTGGAACAGTTCTGGGATTGCGCACTAATTCTGAACAGATTTGAAATGAAAAAAACCAAAATAAGCAGCAAATCACAAAATTCCAGAAAGTTCCTCCTTCAGAGCAAGAACTGAGAGAACTGTTTTAGAATTGTTCCTACATAGTTCTAACCGTGCGTACGAAATTTTAATCTGAGTTCTCCGACCTTGAGTGTTCGTTTATTTAAAAAGTGTGCTCGGTGCAAGCTCATTCGCGTTTGTTTATTGGAATTTCGAACGCTCTGATACAGCGTTTAACTGCTCTGTGCGCTTGTTGGTGACGTGATTACGGCTTCGCTTTAGCACGCTCTGCTCATTGATAAAAATACCAAACGCAAGCTAATAAACCAAAACGCTATCAACTTGGCTCGATAATTCTGAAAAAACGATTGACATTAGATCAGTGACATTTACCCGAAATTATTTTAAATAACATTTTCGGCTTTACTGCTCCTAGAGCGCTCCCCGTCAGGGGGTGACGTCACAGATCTCTACGAGCTCCAAGGGCGATTATAAGGAGGATTTGAGAGCGTTCAATTGCTAAGGATAATACACACTACCTATTCTCAAAAGGTCTGTATAGTTCAAATATCAAGCCCCCCATCATGCCAAAGCACCAGTGATGACGTAGCAGTGTGTCATTTCTCGCCTTGACGTAGGGTGTTTGCACCACAGGTTATGATTCCGCGGGCTTTTGCTTTATGCCTACTTGGTTTTACTCAATTTTTACTACATCAAGATTCTGAAACAACTCTTTTTGAGATCTCGTTTGCATCTTCTTCTTTGCTTATTATGTTAATTAAAATTAAATAATAGAGAGTTATTGGACGTGCAATGGACAAGCAGTATTTACATCAGTCTTATTTTGACATCTACGCATGCGCATTTGGGTCTGAAAATAAGGATTTCCTTAATAAGGTTACTGCTTGTCTTTATTTGTGTATGGTTAGTGCGATGCAGTAAACTTTCCTTATTTCAATATTTCTGACCTTTTTGACGACTTTGACGTTTTGCTTCTCGACGATGACGTAATTTTACTTAGAGAATTTGCTTTTTACAATAGTTTTTCATTTTACTGTAGGTAACATCAAAAAATGGGTATCAGCCAAAAATCACAAACAAAAATAAACACTTTTTGAGGTTTAAATTTATAAACATATCTGTCACCTGTCAAAATTATGAATACAAAATAAGGTAATACTCTAACACCTACTACGGTCTTCCAATAACTGTTATTTTCTTGGAGAAATAGTGCTGATGCACTAATAAAATAGCGTAGATCCTTAATACTGCAAGGCAGTATTTAATAATTCCAATAACTCTCTAATATGTTTCATCATAAATTTAAATTCTGAACTACGACCGCTGGCGCAAACAGCTAAGGACTTACATCGATTAAAGGCGATTAACCGGTCGGTCATAGTTGACAGATAATCAATGAAGCAAACGTCATTTGTCAACCAATCGGTTATAAATGACGTTAAATGCATCGTTTATCTGTCAATATAACCGACTGGTCAGTGGCGGCTCGTCAGAGGAGGCAAGGGAGGCTAAGCCTCCCCAAAAAAATTGAAAATTAAATCTCAATATTTTATCCCTAATTCCTATTTAATATTATAGGTTTGTTCCAACCGGCAGTAATTTCCAGTAATATTACTGGCACACATGCGCAATTGTGAAATGCTGTTCCAACCAGTTAAAATTACTAATTTGGAATTGGCGATAATTGACTGTTCGTCGTTCCAACCGGAGTTACGGATAGTAAAATTGCGGTTCAAACGATTCTTGCTTGACTGGAAGAACTGTTGGTTCTAAAATTAGACGCATGCGTAGTGAGGTCGAAAACGGGTCAGTGGTTGAACAACAACGAACATAAATAATAATACATAACCCAGAACCTCAGTTTTTTGTTTATTTAAATTATTTATTTGAAAATTACTGCTACAGAAGTTAAGTAATTTTATTTTATTTGTTCTCAGAGTTAATAAATCTGATTTTTGTCTTATATTAGGTTTAGAAGAATTCCTTATTGTGGTGGAAGATGATTCACCTGCAAGTATGCAAGTTATGTTTATTTTGTTATTTTCATCTTGTGTTGTGAGTACTACTAGTTCAAAAAACGTTCCAACAAGTTTTTAAGTTATTTAGTATAATATTACTGTTTTTGATTGCGCAGTCGCATTAGCGCGGTTACGGACGATAATATTACAGTAATATTATTGCAGGTTGGAACAAACCTTATAATTCACAAATTACACTTTCCAAATTTCGATATTTTAATATAATTTGGAACAATCTGACAACATTATTTCAAACAATTCCGCGCCTCCATGACAAAAATCTGTTCCTTGCCCGCAATTTTACCATTAGAAGTCGACCGGAGGCTTGACTTTCATATGCTTCCCTGAAATCTAGCATTCAAATGGACCGCGAATCTCAGCGACCAATAGAAATGCCGGAAACATGTCGAACCATTCTGGCGTTCAGGCACTATCGGGTCGCGGAGCGGCTAGCCGCAACCTTTGATTGCAAGGATGGAAACTGCCATCGTTGCTTTTTTATCTCTTTTTTATGCATTCGGAGTTCCATGTCACTTCTCTATTCGGAAGTCGTAGACTGTTGATTGATATTTTTTGTCGTCAGGTGCATTTCAAATTATTGTGCAATTGTGTATCTTTCGTGGATTTTATATACCAATGTATTTTTTATTTTTCGTCAAAATGAATTTTTTAGCGTTAAAACGAATTAAAACTTACTCTCGAAGTACCATGTCCCAAAACAGACTAACTAATGTATCTTTTGTTTCAATTGAAAAAGAATTTGTACCTATCCAAAAATGTGCGAATATGACCAGTTTTATGAAGAAGTACCTAATAGATTATTTCGCGAATAAAAAAAACCGACGAATTCCGCTCATTTTTAAAATTCAATAAACTACATTGATCAAAACGAAAAAGGAGCACTTCAGTAATTTAATATAATTTATTTATTGCATTAAAAAGAAAAATTTCTGTTTTTCCAGCAGACACGCAATTCCATATGAAACCAATGAAGGCCCAAGGCCCCCACACACTACGATGAAACATGACGGTTTTCATCGCCGAGATGAAACACGTCGTTCCAAAACTGAAGTGTGTGGTAGAAAACCGTTGTGTTTTTCTAGCACACACTTCATTATTTATCCAATCTACATCAAAATTTGGGACATATTTCGGAAAATATGATCTATTGACGAAGAAGAGTTCTTTAGTTTATCAGATAGTCCTGAAGAAATTGATAGTTCACCTCTCAGGTTAATTACTCAGCATGCGAATACGGAAAATATATACTTATGACGTTTCTTTTCTTGTCCCTTTATGGTTTTTATTGAATTTCAGATAAATTCTTGAGGACGTAGACACTCCCAAAAAAAAAATTGCCTGCTGCCAGTGGTTACCGTAGTTCATTATTATTTTTAACCTCCTCACTTGAAATAGTCACGAGCCGCCACTGCGACTGGTTAATCGCCTTTAATCGACATTAGTTGTCATGTCAACAATGGTGCTTCACTATATGACCGCGATTACCAAAAACGGGGCCGATAAGCAATCCTGTAGTGGTGTGTATCCGATCCGAGAGAATATTAGAGCAAGAAGTTGAATCACTTCGTGAACCAAGACAAAGGGAGGAGTTCTTGATATTGGAACAACTGGAATTAAATAGTTCCGGTTCGATCCCGAGAGACCTAGTTGGATCGGTTCTGTTTTTTGTTCGATTTGCTCATGGTAAAATAGAATCCTGAAATACACTCTACCTACGACAAACCTAAATTATGTTCTAACCGAACTAGTCCGAAATCAGTTCAGACGATAGCTCTGTTTTGGTTCGAAACTTGGAACAGTTCTGGCATTGCGCAGAACTGCTTGCGCACAAAAAATATTGGAGGACTGTTCTCATACTAAATCTGAACCGATTCGGAAGCAAAAAACTAAAACAAGCCGCAAATCACGAAATTCCAAAACAGTTGAGTTCCGATTAGGATTCTGAAAAAACGAAAATGCGTTTTATAACATGCATGTGCAGAATGATTCCGAATTAATTCTGGGGCGGTGACGTCACAGAACTCTGCGGGAGGGCTCCGAGTGCGATTATAATTCAAACGAAGAGACACCATTTGAAATCAATAGCCGAACGTACTTGATCAAATTTCTTCGATTCATCGAATTTGACGGAGCATGAAAGAGCTACATGCAAGATTTTGAGAACGTCCTACTGCTCAAGTCAAACGCATGAATTTCGCCGAAAGCAACGCTCCGTTTTAAACCGAACATGTGAATCCGTTTCGGATCGCTTTTCGATCAATCGAGTGCAGTTTTGTGGCAAAAGTCCAAAGCACCAATATTTTCGAACCGAACTTGTTCGGGAATCAGTTTAGAAAGTTCCAAACTCGCCGAGAAACGTTCAGGAACGGCCCCAATCATGCGCATTTTAACAAAAGCGTTCTAAACTTTAAACTTACCGTTCGAAGATCCGATTCTCTTTGCGTTCCAACCAATTTTACTACAGTTCTAGCACGGTTTCGGGACAGTTCGGTACCCGCCAAGAGCTCTTTCCTCGCGTTCACTTTTTTGAAACTGGTTCAAAACAGGTTTGAAACAGTACCTATATTCTGGGAATGAGCCCATGACGTCATATCAAAATTGATTGAAACCGTTTCAAAATACAATCCAATCCTCGTTTTAAAACCATTTTCTCACGCCGAGAAGTTATGACGTCATGTGACAGTTTCAAATCAGTTTTGAAAAACATTTTAAAACATTTGAGGCACGAACAAGAACAGTTAACCTAATAGCACTGCTTATTGAGCTGAAAGTGTCTGCTATCACAGTCGCAGACCTCAACTCTCGGCGTAAAATGCATTAGCCAAGTTTAAAACTGTATACGTCACAAAAAAAAATTCCTAGACGTTATTATCTTGTTAAAATCACCTTTTCTACATTTAAAATCGACGAAATAATAAGTACCTGCTCAATCGCAAGCACACCATCGAGGCCTGCGGGTGACATTACCACTTCAAGCTGCTATATTGGTAATAGTGGTGACGTCACTCGCAGTTCCTACCAACTCAAGAATTGGCCTTATGAGGAAGAGCAATCCTGTTGGTCTCCAATTCTTGAGACCCGAGAAAACACCTATGAGGTCTTCTCACAGCATAACAGGAACTCACAAACCAGTCGGAGCGAATTTCATTGGTTGAAAATAGTCTGTTTGTTGGCGATTTGCACCAATCAAAAACGCTCAGACTGGTTTGTGATTTCAGTGAGAACAGACTTAAGATAAGGCAAAACGAAGTTACAAAAAAAAAAAAAACCGTCCTGAAATCGTTCCTACCGATGTTCAATCCTAAAATGGTTTTGGAACCGTGCAAAGCTTGCGCCTGCTTATTATAAATCTTGTTATAACGAACCATTCCAGATTCCAGAACGGTTTTAAGAAATGGAGTTGGAACTATTCGAGCAGGCGTGAAAGTTGGGAACCTATTCGAGCAGGATGGAGATTCTAATTGCTCGAGGTCGAAGAATGCGACTGGGAATAACGTTGATATTTCCTATACGAGACGCTCGACTCGTGTCGACTAGTGAAATTGTAATCCGGCTTGAGGTGTGAATTGTGATCGGCCTCGAAAGCTCATATTACTCCAGAGTGAATAAAGAACGGTCGGTTCAGATCAAAAGGAGTAAAAATGGAGCAAAAAACATGGTCCATGCTTTCTATCCACCGAAAGGTAAACAAAAAACAAAAATAAAACATTGAGGTTATGTTATATGTGAAGGTAACCTAAAAAATTGCAAGCAACATTTCCTAATTTTTTTCTCTTTTACCGTCTTTTACATTGGATTTTTAGTATTTTTTTTATCAAATAAACCGTTTTTAAATGTATAGTTTTCTTTATTCACCAATTCACCATGTATCTAACAAAATTAATCAGGGCAACTCTTGTAAAAAAACGAACATTTTTTGAATCTTCTCTAAGACGATATAACAATATAGCTTTCGAGGATATTCCAGAAGTTTCAACAGCTCTAATCAAAAAAACTTTATGTCTACATGGAAATATAGAAGAGGGACATACTTGCTTTATTACAAAATGCACCATTTGCAAAAGCGGCAAAACCGATGCAAAATCCAACGCAAAGTTGTATATAAATAAAACAACAGGTAGTGCAACATTTTGCCCTTATTTTTACTACAAATTATTCTTCTAGGAATGTATATGTGTAGTTTTTGCAAACACACAGGTCAATGGGACCAATTGGCAGCTCGTCTGGCTCTAACCAAAACAAAAAGGCCAAAAAGTAAAGATTCATTTGAACCTGAAATCAGTGAATTGCAAATTATTAATGAATCACTTCAGCAGATAAGAGAAAACTCCACAAAACTAAAACTATTAGAAAGCGAAGAATATTTGAATATTTTAAATAAGTTTAAATTACCGGTAAGTTGTAGGCTAAAAATTGAAACTAACATTGATAAGAATTATTTTATAGATCATCACAAATGATTGTATAGAATCGTTAGATATACGAACAAACGAAAAACGCACCCTTCTTTATTTTCCTTTAGAAAATGTTGAAAATGAAATAGTTGGTTACAGGACTTTACACTCATATAGCCAAGAAGAAACTATTTTACCTAACATCCAATGTGGAGGATTATTAACAGCAAGGCAACCACGCTCCAAAGACACTGTTCTAGTCCCCAACCTTTCAGACTTTTTAATACTTATAAACTCAAAAATACCCACAAATATAGTCTGTTTACCAGAAGGTGTAAATACTTTATCGCAATACATGCTACCTAGTCTTGAGAGGTTTAAAAAATTGGTTCTATGGTTTGGAAGTGATAGTAAATCTTGGGACTCTGCAAGACATTTCGCTAAAAAATTGGGTGAGAAACGGTGCTCATTAGTAAGACCAATAGAGCTATTGCCGCACTTAAAACCAGAGCAAGACTTTAAGAGTATTATTGGAAATGCACAAAATATGTGGCATAAAAGTATAACTACTTTTGGAAGTTTGAGAGATGAAGTCTTTTCTGATATACAAAATATTGATAAGGTAACTCTTCATAGAGTTGTGTAATTTTTTTTTAAATTATAAATTTACACTTATTAGGTTCAAGGTGTCAAATGGAAAAGATTCCCAACTTTAAACAAAATACTGATGGGACATAGACGGGGTGAATTGACCATCCTTACTGGACCTACAGGGTGTGGAAAAACCACTTTTGTTAGCGAATATTCTTTGGATTTGGCCGCACAAGGGGTAAAAACTTTCAAAAACCAAAACAAAATTGTTAAAAACTTAATTTCAGGTCAACACTCTTTGGGGTAGTTTCGAAATCAGAAACGCAAGACTAGCAAGAACGATGCTACAACAAATGGCGGGCTTACCACTAACAGAAAATGTCCATTTATTTGATGAGTTTGCTGATGAATTCCAAAAACTTCCGATTTATTTTATGACATTTCACGGACAGCAAACCATCAAAGTTGTAATGGAGGCTGTTGAGCATGCAACCTATGTTCACGACATTGCCCATTTGATAATCGATAATGTTCAATTTATGATGGGCATGTCGGATGAATCCAAACACATGGATAGGTTTTGGAAACAGGACGCAATTATTGCGGCTTATAGGACTTTTGCTACTAAGAGAAATTGTCATGTGACTTTGGTAATTCATCCCAGGTAATTGTTTTTGTGGTTAAATGATGTCCAATTGATTGTTTGTATATATAGGAAGGAGAGGGACGATGAGGATTTAACTGTTAGTTCAATTTTTGGAGGTGCCAAGGCATCCCAAGAAGCTGATAATGTTCTCATTATTCAAGATAAAAGACTGACCTCTGTTAGAGGAAAAAAGTACTTACAAGTGAGTTAAATAATGAGTTATTAAAATTTAAATTTATGATTGTTTCAATTAGGTGGCCAAAAATAGATATAGTGGTGATTTAGGAGTTTTGCCCTTGGACTTCCAAAAGAATGCTTTGAGTTACGCTCAGAAAAGGCCAAAAGAAAAACCTCCTCCAATAATAGATGTTCCCGAAAGGGTCTCAGAAGCTGAAAGTAGTATTAAGATTGAAGATGATAGTTGATAAGCTTAAAATGAGTGTATTTCTATTGCATTATTGTTGATTAATGCATATCTTTATTATGCAGTTTGTGATCTGTGCCATTTGTTACCTATATATTTTTATACAAACTTTATACAATGATAATTGATTGTAATTATTTGAATAACTTCATTGTTACAAAAAAAAATGGTATTTTTTGTTTAAGGTTGTCTTTTATTTTCAAGGTGTAACAATAATTCCTTAACAATTTCACTACACTTTTTCATGTCTGCCCTATTGTCAGTTTTTTTGGCAACGTAGCCCATAAAAGCATTAAAAACTTTTGTTTTACCTTTCAAATAGTCCTTTACAGCTTTTTCATTTTCATCTAAAATTTGCTGGCAAATTTTTCTCAATTCTTTTTCATCTGTGATTTGCTTCCAGTTCTTATCTGCGACAATCTAGAACAAAATATAATTTAATAAAAATTGGCTCTTAACAAGTCACAGACCGAGCTATAATGCCCAGTAATGAGGCTAACTTAGTTCAATACAAAATTTAAAAAATACCTTTGTGGGATTATCCATATTGCCTTTTAATAATTCCTCAGTCACCAACAAAGCAGTAGCTCTACTAATGGTGCTCGCTTCAATTAACTCCAAAATTTCACCAAAATATTTTAGATTGCATTTCCTAAAACAAAATCATCCATTATTACTTATTAAAAATAAAAACACCCACTACTTACACGTTCTGCAATTCCAAGTCCATTTGATTTAAGGCTCTATTAAGCTCGTTTATTAAAAAATTTGCAAGTTTTGTGCCGCTAATAGATCTTCCAGAAATCGATTCTTCAAAAGCCCTTAGAAGATGAAAATCATTCTAGAAAATGAGCTGTTTGAAGAAAACACATTTAATCCTGCACAAAACATACCACTAAAATAATACTTTGTTCAGAAGTAAGTCCAAAAGTTTCTCTCAACCTGCATCGTATTTGCTCAGGCAATTCAGGTATTTTCTCTCGAATTTTATCCGCATTTATAAAACCATTTTCAACAGGCCCCATACCAATATGCAAAGGAGGCAAATTTGGTTCTGGCATATATCTGTAATCCTGCTGGACTTCTTTGTCTCTCATGGGCACTGTAATCTTTTTCTCTGGATTCCACGATCTTGTTTCATTGACAATAGTACCGTTGTTTTCCTTAATTTTTATTTGCCTTTGAATTTCATATTTGATGGCACCAGCTACTCCTCTTACAGATCCTATGTTTTTTATTTCGGTTCTTGTGCCAAGCGGTTCGCCGTCCTTGTGTATGGATACATTTGCGTCTATTCTTAATGCTCCCTCTAAGAAATGGTGATCATATAAAATGATATTACACAAGGTTGTAATGTACAGGGTGTTTCAAATTTGAGCTATATTAGGGTTGGCATCTTAGACCGTTGGCATACATAAAAACCCATTTCAAAAACCCAGTTTTTGACACAAAAATCTACTATCAATATTGACAAAAACCCAGTGGGCTTTGGACTTTTTGTATAAAAAACCCACTCATACAGAACTCATTCTTACCATAGTGCCAAAAATCAATCCTAAGTCTAAAATTATTAACTTTTTTTCCATCTTGACCAAACAAAATATGAACCAAATTAAAAAGTTTTCTAGAGAATTTAATTGGCTTCAATTAGGGCTTAACTACACTGAAATCCGATGAAAATTAACGGAGCTGTGAGGCAAAAACTGTTTCAGTGTCATTTTAGGAAAATTTTCAATGTTCGATAAATTCAACTTTGAACCTTCTCAGGTGCAATACTGTTAGTTAAACCAAATTAAAATCTTACTAACAGGTTTGTAGAGAATTTAGTTGGCTTCAATTAGGGCCTAATTACACTGAAGTCGGATGAAAATTAACGGAGCTGTGCGACAAAAAATGCCTCAGTGTAATTTTTGGAAAATTTCCAATGTTCGATAATTTCAGTTTTGAAGCTTCTCAGGTGCAAGACTGTTGAAACCAAATCAAAATCTTAATTAACAGGTTTGTAGAGAATCTAATTGGCTTTGATTAGAGCTTATTTACACTAAAATTGGATGAAAATTAACGGAGCCGTGAAGGAAAAACTGTCTCAGTCATTTTTGGAAAATTTTCAATGTTCGATAAATTCAACTTTGAAGCTTCTCAGGTGCAATACTGTTAGTTAAACCAAATTAAAATCTTACTAACAGGTTTGTAGAGAATTTAGTTGGCTTCAATTAGGGCCTAATTATACTGAAGTCGGATGAAAATTAACGGAGCTGTGCGACAAAAAATGCCTCAGTGTAATTTTTGGAAAATTTCCAATGTTCGATAATTTCAGTTTTGAAGCTTCTCAAGTGCAAGACTGTTGAGACCAAATCAAAATCTTAATTAACAGGTTTGTAGAGAATCTAATTGGCTTTGATTAGAGCTTATTTACACTAAAATTGGATGAAAATTAACGGAGCCGTGAAGGAAAAATTGTCTCAGTCATTTTTGGAAAATTTTCAATGTTCGATAAATTCAACTTTGAAGCTTCTCTGGTGCGAAACTGTTGAAACCAAATTAAAATCTTGGTCGATGGGTTTGTAGAGAATTTAATTGGCTTCAATTAGAGTCTAATTACACTGAAATTGGATGAAAATTACCGGAGCTGTGAGGCAAAAACTGTCTCAGTGTCATTTTTGGAAAATTTTCAATGACCACAAAAAAGAAAGAAGTCCAACTAGGATTGAGGAAAAGTTTATTTCAAAAACCACAAATGGATGATAAATAACTGACCCAGAACTCCTAGAATACCCAAAAAATGTATACAGACACAAAAAAAAACAAAAATGGTGGATCTCTTGTTTGAATCATTTACAAATAAATTAAACAAAAAACTGACCATAGAAACCAGAAACTGACAATAATGATAAGATTATCAAAATTGACAAAAGTGAAAAATAATCAACAAGCAAATTGATGGGAACTCCAAAAGCAAGATCAAGAAAATAGAGCATTTGGATAATGATTTTGAAATGCTAAATACTGATGTAAGTGATAATAGCTCGTAGTTTACCTTCCATTTTGCACGAACAAGTCTGTATTGTTTGCAATATCATCATTAGTTCTTTGATGAGAGCAGCTGCTTCTTCTCCGTCCACTAAATCTGGTTCGAAAACCAATTCCATCAGAGGTATACCTGCCCTGTTCAAATCCACCAAACTTTTGTCGAAATCGTGAAGACTTTTTCCACTATCTTGTTCAAGTTGTAGCTAAACAGGAACAATTAGCAAACTAATAGTTCTAAGACAAATTAATACCTGTTTAATTCTTGCACTAGTTTTATAACAAGTTTTATGTACACCTGGAGCAAACACATGAAATTCCATATTACCATTTGATGCCAGGGGAGCTCTCTGTTGGGTTATTTGATAACCCGAAGGCATGTCAGCATAAAAATAGTGTTTTCTATCAAAATACGACACAGGGTTAACTTTGCAGTTTAAAGATAAGGCGGTTAAAACTCCTGCTTCTACACAGCGTTTATTCAAAACAGGAAGCGTGCCAGGGGTCGATATATCAAAAAGGGCCGCATTGGAATTAACGGGGCTCGAAAACTTCGTTGGGGACCCGGAAAACAATTTGGTTTCTGATTGGATTTGTGCGTGAACTTCCAGACCGACTACACTTTTCCATTGCGGGCTGAAATTTGATTGATGTTAGTTGATTTATGGATATAGTTTAAGGATTTTACCTATTTTTTGATAGTTTTGAGTAGTTTCTTCTTGGCAATATTGTTTTGGAGTGGAAAATTATTCTTTTCCCAAGGCCCATTTTTTTCTTGTTTTGATTTTCATAACCTAAGAGATTTAGGCGTTTTCATTTTTCGAACCGAGTGTGTTTTCATTTTTCGAACCTACAGTGTTCGAACCGAGTGCGTTTTCAAAACGGTTCGCAGATCGTAGCCGTTCGTAGAACGGTCCGAATAGTGTTTCGATTGTCGTTCGGTTCGTTGTTCTGTTTGTTGTTCGGCGTAAGGCTTCGTACAGACTTGAATATAAAGTTTGGTACAGGGCTGCGTTCACATTAAAACCGTCCGACAAGGTAACTTACCGGATAAATGACGTCATGGACGAGTCGTCAGGCGATCGTTGAACTGGGCTGCGTTCACATTTGAAACGTCCGACGAGGTAACTTACCGGGTAAATGACGTCATGGACGAATCGTTAAACTGCAAGGATAAGGAGAAATACACACTATTACTACTATGTGGAACAAATCTGAAGCTCCCCACCTCGCCTAATTACTAGTTGTGACGTAGGCAGCATGTCGTTTCTCGCATTGACGTAGGCTGTTTGCACTACAGGATCAAGAATCTACAGGATATAATTCCGCGAGCAGACTTGTTTTACTCCATTAATTAACATTCAAACAACTCTTTTTTAGCTCTCGTTTTCATCTTCCTCTTTGCCTTTTATGGCCGTGGTAGTTTTTGTCATCTTTTTCGTCGATTTGCTCCGAAGTTTTGACAGGCACGTGACTGGAGCAGGCAGTTTCAATTTACAAATTACGTGCTTTTCAAAATTTCGAAGCAAATCGACGAAAAAGTTGACAAAAACAAACACGGCCTTTGCTAATCAAGATTAAGGGTCGAATTTATAGTCGTTCCTTGAAGGTGGTGAGTTTAGAATGGATATTTGCTACTATTTGACAAGTTAGTTACGTCCATTCTCATTCTAAACGTTCAAGGCTTCCTTAAGGTCTGAGGAAACCTCAAGGAACGACTATAAATTCGGCACTAAATAATAATTTTCTCCATAAATTTAAATTCTAAACTACGACCATTGACTACGACCGCTAACACTGACGACTTATAAGTTGTATTCCTTTCACGAGCTTGAAACACTCGAGCTACGGAATAAGTGCGTGACGCCCCGGAGCTGTTCCGGAGCTCCTCCTAGGTGTGAAAGGAATACAACTATAGCAAATTCTATTGGCAGAACCAGAAAAAATGTATTTTCATCTCTTTCTTATACAAGCTGGTAGAAAAAGATACGAATACACTCAGTGCGCACTCAGGGATGATACACACTACACACTACTACTACAGGATGGCCTATCCGCATAAGGCCTGTGTGTAACAAATCCTCCCTTCACCCAAGGAGACTTCACCCTCAAACCAAATTACCAGTTCTGACGTAGGCAGCATGTTATTTCTCGCCTTGACGTAGGCTGTTTAAACAGCTGACAACTTAGTTATGACGTCGGAAATGGTTACACAAAAATATGGCGACGATTACCAAAAACGTGGCCGATAAGCAATTCTTGTAGGTGTGTATCATCCTTGGTGCGCACTAACCCTTCCAATGGAATTCGTTATTACTTATGAGGCCGATAAGGAATCCTAATGCATCATACTCACTTGCGCGAAATTCGCTCTTTTTTTGATAATGCTTCGACAATTTGACGTTTTATGCGAGATTCAAACGTCAAATTGTCGAAGCAATGTCAAAAAAGAGCGAATTTCGCGCAAGTGAGAATTAAGCTTTATGCTTCATTCTCACTCGCGCGAAATTCGCTCTCTTTTTGACATTCTTCGACAATTCGACGTTTTATGCATGTATCAAACGTCAAAATTTTGATGCAATGTCCAAAAAGAGCGAATTTCGCGCAAATGAGAATTAAGCTTTAGTAGTGTGTATTATCCAAGGATGATACACACCTACAGGATTGCTTATCGGCCTCGTTTTTGGTAATCGCCGCCATAATGGTGTGTCACCATTTCCGACGTCATAACTAAGTCGTCAGCTATTTAAACAGCCTACGTCAAGGCGAGAAATAACATGCTGCTACGTCAGAACTGGTGATTTGATTGGGTGTAGTTGGGGTTGGGGAGGAAAGGAGGGATTTGTACACACAGGCCTTATGAGAATAGGCCATCCTGTAGTAGCAGTGTGTATCATCCTTGTGTATCATCTTTGTTTAAACTGAACGAACTGGACGCTTGCTGCTTGCTTGTGGTTTGTTGACGTTGACATAACCCCAATAACTGTTTAAAACTATGATCGGATTAACCCGATCACAGGGATCACCAAACTCGACGTACGGAAAGGGAACAGTTCACTCTGTGATCGGGTTGTTCGTTTCAGTATCATATGTTTGGATCTCATTGACTCGATAAAATGCGGGGTAAATAGGATTGGCAAGCAGCCGTTAGCTGTTTTTTTTAACCCAGCTTTTTAGTTGTTTGTTGATTGTTTTCCCTTTAAAATAAATGTGGCAGAGATCTTCAACAGCAAGAAGCCAAAAAAAAAATGGAAATTTGAGAACTGGAAATTTAAATTAAAATCGGAGAATCAAAATAATGTTTGTTTGTTGAGATTAGGCATCTGCTGATCCATCTGTTCGAAACAATGAACTGTTCTGAAACTAAACTAGCTCCACCCATAGTTTACTAATCCTTGAACAGCTGATACTGATCGAACTGATTCTAGATCCCGCCCTTAGGGTGGGTATTATAAAACTGGTTTGACAGTTAACTTGAAGTTAACTTTTTGAATTACATGTAATTCCAGAAGTTAACTTTAAGTTAATTCTCAAAGTAGTTTTATAATACCCACCCTAAGGGCGGGTATTATAAAACTGCTTTGACAGTTAACTTGAAGTTAACTTTTTGAATTACATGTAATTCCAGAAGTTAACTTTAAGTTAACTCTCAAAGTATTTTTATAATACCCGCCCTAAGGGACATAAAATTATCTGACACTAGTGACAGTTCGGACACTGGAGCTGTGAAGCTTCGACGCCTCGCTGAGGCGCTAGCGGTGGGGATAGACGACCCCGGGGCTTGACGCCCCCATTGAAAAGAACGGTTGACACATTTCAAAATCGTGATCAAGCCCCTGAAAAGAAAGCAGCTCTATATGGGAGTGTGACGCTCGAAGCTACTCAGAGCGTTCAGCCCCCGAGCTATACGTACGGACAAACGTCACACGTCATGATACTGGAACGGTACAAATCTAGTGTGTGGCGCTCCCGGGGTGCTCTAGAGCGCACCAATGTGCATACTGGAAAGCAGCTAATCACAAATGACTCAGACTTACTACTCGGAGTGAGTCGAGTAAAAGCCGAACCAATCGAGGGAAAATTGAAGTTTTGTTGTTTTGATAATTGACAGTGACAGAATACAGCTGCACTCAGCACACACACACACAAAAAGAAAATCAAATTAAAAAAAATATATCTATCTTCTATCTCCGCATTTTCTTAGTTTTATGTAAATAACTGGAATTTAGATTAGTAGAGTGCCTCATTCATTGTAAAAATGATTAAGTTATTTTCGTTAAAGCAACAGAAAAAAGACGGAGAATCGACGCCACGAACTGGAAATCAAAAGAAAGCTTCTGCAGCCCAGTTGAGGATAACTAAAGGTTTCTATTCTGTACGTAAACCTATTTGTATAAACTTTATCCGAAACCTTTTTCAGATATCAATGAACTGAACTTGCCCAAGACCTGTAACACAGAATTTCCAGACCCTGACGATTTGTTGACTTTCAAGTTGGTGATTTGCCCTGATGAGGTAAAAAAAAAGCAAACATTCCCCCTCCCTTATTTATAAAACAATTATAATTTTAGGGTTTCTATAAAAACGGTAGGTTCGTGTTTAGCTTCAAAGTAGGTCCAAGTTATCCTCACGAACCTCCAAAAGTAAAATGCGAAACTCAAGTTTACCATCCGAATATCGACCAACAAGGCAATGTTTGTCTCAACATATTAAGAGAAGATTGGAAACCTGTGTTGACCATAAACAGTGTCGTTTACGGTCTGCAATATTTGTTCTTGGAACCCAACCCGGACGATCCTCTAAACAAAGAGGCTGCTGAAGTTCTGACTAGCAATAGACGAGTATTCGAGCAAAATGTTCAAAAGGCGATTCGAGGCGGCTATGTTGGGGGCATCTACTTTGACCGATGCCTTAAGTGATCAGATTTTTTGGAAATGCTTAAAAATATGTTTATAATAAATATAAGGCAGACAAATCTTTAATTTTAATGTTCATATTTTGGAATTCCTTAATAATGGTATTCATTAAAACAAAAAAAGAAACAGTGAAGCAGGGTCTTATAAACTTTTCATCATGAATTATTTTATTTTTCAAATTTCAAGAATAAACTTTATGGGTGAGACTTGTTTTGAATACATAGGTAATTAGTTGAAAATTGACTTAGAGTGAGAATAATTGTGTTGGTTTAGGGCCTCTCTTCATTCTGGTTATGAACATTTCAATTTTTGAGATTCATAATCATTTAGCTTTTCATATTATTTTTGTGTGCATGTAACCATCTTGAATAAGTTTATATTTTTGTTAATTACAATTATTTATTATTTTATTGATCATACCACATATAGGTTTAATTTTTTAATTAAAGGTTTAAAGATACCCTGTATTTTTTTAAACCTTGCCCTTGCCATTAGATTTTTGGTTTATTTTTCACTGCTCCAAGCAAATAAATCTACTGAATAAAGTCCAACAGAAACTCAAAGATACTAACTACTAATTTATTTAAAATGAACTCCATCTATTTCTGGAAAGGATAATAATCCAATCCAGTATTAGATTGGAATTTGGGTTTATCATGTTTCTTGGCATCTGCAATCATATCTTGCACGTCTTTTCTGTAAGGAGGAGGTAAAATTTCTTCCTGCAAAGTACACTCAAATGGTTCAGGTTCTCTTTTTTTGTAAATTCTTCGTCTTATTACGTCTACGTCACGTGCGTATTCGTCCAACAAGTCCGCTAAGCTACTCGGGGGCACATTGAATTCATATAGGAAATAGCTAAAAAAAAAATACAAATTGAGTTTTTTCTGAGGTTTACTATCTTGAATTAGTAACCTTGCTTGTTTGTGTACCATACCGTGCGAGCTAGTTTTATAGGGCATGTCTCTAGTACCTAAATTTTCAATTTTTCTTATGAAACCACCTTTTCCGAAAATTTGATCTGCTGTCCTTTGAAGGACCTGTTTCACTTCTGGCTGCAATTTATCAAGTTAATGGGGCATTTGTCGATCAAGACGCTATGAAATTACCTTGGGCATAATACGGAGCAGTAACATTAATTCGTAAGTAATCATTTTTAATTAAAATTAAATTAATTATCAATAATTTTTTTGTTCTTTTTGTAGCTTTGGAAAAGTTGGGTTATGTTTATTTTATTTTTAACTGTCTTTCATAGGTGCCGCCACTGGTCAAGGTTTTGTCTTTTGTAGTGGGTAACTTGATGACGTCATCGACCTTATGGAGATTTGCGGACAATGCAAGGATTCTTATCAGGGCTGTTTATGAAATCTACTTTACGCGGTTTGTCTACTCGTTATCTTCGTATTGTTTACATCCGCTTTTTTTCATGTAGACTCTGGGCGCGCTCGAAACGATAAGATTCTGTTCGTTTTAGCTCTCAGTTCGTCCCTTTTGCGTTGAGCTTATGACCGCGTATGACGTCACGATATCCATGCTCATACCGTTCCGCTCCGTGGACTGTGGAGTGCAAAGCCGAACTCAGCCTAACTATCCGTGCGTTCGGTATTTTGAACCGAGTTCTCCGAGCTTGAATTGACCGTTCGTTTATTGCAGTGATTCCCAAACTTTTTTAACCTACCGCCCACTTTTAGAAAATGGGAATTATCCAACGCCCCCCTTGCAGGGATCCAAGATATTGAAGCGGTGGCATTTTTTTAAAAAAATTTCATGGTCGTGCATTTTCTTGGCGAGGGACAGCATCAAGTTACCTCCCCAGTAGGATTTTGTCAGAAACTGACCCAATATGGAAATTTTGAGAAAAACCTGATCCAGCGCAATTCAGCACACTTCAGATTGCATAAGAATCCATTTTTGTTTCATCTTATTTCCAAAATTTTGGGAGGCTGAGCGTCAAGTTAGCCCCCCCAGTAACATTTTGTCGAAAAATTACCGAATATAGAAATTTTGAGAAAAACCTTACAGAGTACAGTTCAGTACACTTATTTCGATTGCATAAGAATTCATTTTTGTTTAATCGGATTCCCAAAATTTTGGGGGGGCTGAGCGTCAAGTTTGCCCCTCATCTTGTTTTTTCTTTAACTTTGGTATCAGAACAGCACAGTTCAAAGTGGTTGCAATTTTGTTAGAAAATTCGAATGTGGGGGGGCTAACTTGACGGAGTTTATTTTTAAGCTTTTTGAAGTTATTTATCCGTGCGTTCGTTATTTTGGTCTGAGTTCTCCGAGCTTGACTTTACCGTTCGTTTATTTAAAAAGTGTACTCGGTGCAGCCTCATTCGCGTTCGTTTATTAAAATTTCCGGTACTTTTATACAGCGTTCAACTGCTCCGTTCGCTCGCTGGTCACGTGATTACGGCTCCGCTCAGCTCGCTCTACACTTTGAGCAAAATACCGAACGCAAGGTATAAGTAAAATACAGTAACTTTAATGCAGCTGCTGCTGATCAATGCGTGTATTAGTGGTATCGCATTTTAAGCAAGTCATAGCAGACTTAGTTGAGGTGCGTGCGGGCTTCCGGATTTGCGTCGAAACTCTAGCATCGATTAAACGCGATTAACCAATTGGTCATAAATGACAGATAACCAATGAAGCAAACGTCATTTGTCAACCAATCGGTGATAAATGACGTTAAATGCATTATTCATCTGTCAATATATCCGACTGGTTAATCGCCTTTAATTGACTCATGGCTGCGTTCATAACTGAAAGCTTCCCAAAATTGACTCCGAAAGGCATAGACTTTGACTGACTATCAGCCTTATCTTTCGAGTATTGAAGAGTAATTTCCGTAAAAAGCCATTTACTATTTAATTTCAATTTTTTTTTCTGATCTGTTCGTTAATTTTCCACCGCCCACTAATTTATGCTTACCGCCCCCCAAAATCAGCTGAGCTCTTTACCGCCCCCCGAGATGGTTGTAGCGCCCACTGGGGGGCGTTATCGCCCACTTTGGGAACCACTGGTTTATTGCACTCGAATATACCGTTCAACTGCTCTGTTCGCTCGCTGGTCACGTGATTACGGCTCCTGTCAGCACGCTCTGCTCTTTGACCAAAATACCAAACGCAAGGTAAAGTAGACTGTAGTGTAGACAACGGAAAATTTAAAATTTGAGTAATTTTTTTTTTGAAAGTTTGCATTGTATTAAGGGCGGTTTCTCAATAGCGAGTCACCTCCAGGTTGGTTTTATTTAACTGCAGGTTAAACGTGTCCAGTTATTACTATGTTTACCCTGGAGTTATGACTAACTGCGGTTTAATTAACTTTACTAAGCAAAAAACAAAACAAAGTGTAGCAAATTGCCCCAAGTACTCTATGTAAATTAGTTAGATGGTAAATGGCGAGCGGTATATTGATGGTGTTTATATGTACTTGGAGCTTGCTATCTAAAATCTGTGGAAGAGGGTCTACTTGCAAAAGAGAGAAACAAACTAAGGAGGTGTACTAAATTATATTTTATTTCACATAAAACTCAAAAATCAATTAGCCAAATATCTCCCAATACTTTACATCCTTCTTTAATTCTGTAAAATTAATACTTCACATCCGTTCTATATTGTTATTATACGGACCACTGAAATATGCCTACTTAATACGAAACGCCCTATTCATACTATTTCTCAAAATAATATTTCTATTTATTTTACTACATCGAAATCATTCCTAATAACTACCCTTTACCTAGTCAGATAATTCCTTAAAATCTCTAAGTCCATTACTTATAAAAACCCAAAATAATTACCTATTTGTTTAACAACTAATTTATTCTCATAAAATCTTACAATAACTTCTACTTGTAAAATAAACTCCCTAATTCAAAATTCATTTCATGGACAATAAATTCTTTTAACGGCTTTCCCATATTCTAAGACAATTCTATTTCATGAACAAGTTTAATTTACGAAACATCCTATTTCCTTTTAATTAGTTTATTTAATCAGACAAATTCTAATATAAGTTTCCTTTTAACTAGTTTCCAATATTTTAAGAAAACAATTCTATTATGTCATCAAATTTCTTTTTAAAATGTCCTATTGCAGTTAATAGTTTCTTAGAACAAATTTTATTTTCGGATTCGTATGCCTAGCTAATAAATCCAACTGTTTAATTCATAATTTCCAACTCAAAATTGAATATTGTTAAATGCATTGTAAGTACTCTTCATATTTTTGTTGCACATTCAAATGTCATCATATCTGAAGGTAATTAAAGTTATGCGATAATGTTTCCTTCATAAAACACTCAAGTTATTAATTTCGTTGTAATAAAGTTCCACCGTTAAATTAAAAATCAAAAGTTTTCTAGTAAAATTCACACAAAGTCATGTTCATCAAAATAAATCTTGTCACTATAAAGTACTTACATTTTGTCCATAAAACACACGTAATAGTACTCAAAATATTTAGCTACACGCACATAATTGATTTGAACGAATTTAAAATGTTATTACTTTCACGATTCTTCGTAAATTTTCTAAGTTAATTTATACCCGAGGCCATAGGCCATAAAAGTAACTTTTCGCGAAACTGGACAGACTTTAACTCAAATGGACGACTCAACTATGTTCTGGCAACTATCAACTGGGAACTATCTTCAGATAACTGGGAACTATCTTCCGCGAGTTTTATATCAAATCGCTCTCCCCACAAAATTATTATTAAATTTCCCCCAAATCGTCAATATAGGCGGTCGTTAACTTAGGAATCCGAATTTCATTGGACGCCCTCATTGTTATTAAAAGAATGATGCAATTTCCTTGAATATTTTATCAATTTTGTAGCCCAAAAATCGACTAATTATGTCGTAATATACTGATTTATCGAGGTCAAAACGTTTTGGGTTCAAAAAATGCCATAATTCATTCGATTTAATTAGTTACACATGGCCTTCGCTAACGAAAAAGTTCATTGATCGGTTATTAATGATGTCATACTGTCCTCGTTTTTATCTGTTTTAAGAATTTAATTTAGATGACACTTCCGGGTGTCGTAATTCGATTGCTTAGTTGGTTTTTATTTTTTAATTTATCGATACAGATTTCAAAATACCGGAATTAAGTTTTTGATTGTTTGATTATTTATTTAATTTTTACAGTAAAGACTTTGTAATTATAGGGTCAAATTTCTGGATCATCACAAAAGCAAAAACAAAAACATAACCTTAAAGGCCGATTTTAAAATGTAAACAACCGTTCTTTTTAATCGGGGCTTTCAAGGTTATTTGAGAGAGTTAGGTTGCCTGATAACTTTATGACGTCATCTAGGGTTCCTCAACATAATGCAAATCTTCATAAGACACCCCTGATGCGTTACCCATTACCAGAGAACCTCTTAACTTTAGGAACCTTGCGGGGTGTCAAGACCCCGGAGCAGGGATGTGCGTCTACACGTAGACTATTTTATTATTAGTTTTCCACGTATTTTATAATCAATGAATGCTGATATCTAAGTGATGTGATAGTTATTAGGTACTTAGAGGTAGTAGTAATTTTTGATTTTTTTTTTTTTGAATTTTGTAAAAGATCATTGTTTAGGGCACATGTAGACAATGGTCAATGTGTAGACAAATGCTCATGTAAACAATTCGAATTGTCTACGCGTAGAAAATCAACCAACCGGATTGTAAACAGTTTACAAATACCAACAAAATACGTTGGGTAAACTCTTGGTTCTGCTGCACGATTCATCTTTTCAATGATAGAACGTCAACCTCTGAATGTCATTAAACCACAGAGTTCGGATTGTGACTTTAGTGCGGTGTTCGTATAGTGCAGGGTTATATCACGGAATGAATACACCATCATTTTGTAGTTGAGTTTGGAATGGGATTTTAGTGCAGTACTCAAGTGCGGTCTTCGTGTGGTGCAGTGAATACACCATCATTTTGTACTGAGTAAACGCTGTCCCACCATCTTCACACCATTTGGACACCAAAGTATTTCCAAAAGCAAATAAAGTGTACACCAAACACTCCTACCAATTAAAAAACGCCATAGTGTTAATGGTGTAAAAAGTGTCGACACTTTATCCTATTCCGAACTCACCTTGTACCGAGTAAACGGTGTCCTACCATCTTTAAACCATTTGGAAGTGATTCGAGCACCAAGTTATTTCCAAACGCAAATTAAGTGTACATCAAACTTACTTTTACCAATTAACGAACGCCACAGTGTCAATAGTGTAAAAAGTGTCGACACTCTGTGTAGCATTCAGAACTTACCTCACACAAAGTGTTCAAAATTATAAACACTCTTAAATTATGTTTGCAAAAATGGCGGCCATTTGTAAAACATTGGTTTCAACACAAATTCAACGTACCGTTCAGCAGAACAATCGCAAAGCGTTTATCAACGTTTGTATCTGGTGGACGCGGCCAGCCATTGGCCGCATCACTGCCCCGGGGTCGTCTATCTCCAAAGATAATACACACTACTACTACAAGATAGCCTATCCTCATAAGTCATGTGTAGAACAAATCTGGAGTCCCCACCACACCAAATCACCAATTGTGACGTTGCAACATGTCCTTTCTCGCCTGGACGTAGGCTTTTTCGGCTGTTTGCACCACAGGTTATGATTTCGCAGGCTTGTGCCAACAGCTGACGACTTAGCTATAACGTCGGAAATGGTGACACACCAATATGGCGGCGATTACCAAAAACGAGGCCGATAAGCAATCCTTAGTAGTGTGTATTATCCTTGGTCTATCCTCACCGCTAGTGCCTCGGTGAGGCGTCGTAGCTCCAGTGTCCGAACTGTCACTAGTGTCAGATAATATGTCCCTATCTTAGGGCCGGTTTCTTAATAGCTAAGCTAGTCACCTCCGGGTTAAGCATAACTCTGGGGTAAGCATAGCAACTGGACACGCTTACCCTGGAGTTAAAACCAACCCGGAGGTGATCCGCTATTGAGAAACCGGCCCTTAGAGCAGGGAAAGCGCTGTCTTATGGACATAAGGAGTAGGAACGTGCCATTCTGCTATAAAAATAACCTTGCGTTCGGTATTTTGCTCAAATATAAGAGCGTGCTGAGCGGAGCCGTAATCACGTGACCAGCGAGCGAACAGAGCAGTTGAATGCTGTATCAGAGTGCCCGAAATTTTAATAAACAAACGCGAATGAGCCTGTACCGAGTACACTTTTTGAATAAACGAACGGTAGATTCAAGCTCGGAGAACTCAGATACAAATACCGAACGCATGGTATAGTGAAGCCAAGTTTGTGACAGATGTTTAAAATACCTGGAAAAAAAAGGCTTAATTTTCCAACTCCATGTTACTACTCATTTACATTTGTCCCTATATATTCCTTATGTGGATCCGGACAGGAACAATATTGAACAGAAAACCGAAACGGAACAGTTTTTTTTTTACGGACTGGAACCAAACCCATATATTTGATAGAAATGTTGTGAGACAGGTAGAACCGGAACCGATATAAATTAATCGGTGCTTACCGGTATTTTTCGGTTTCAAGGATCCATAAATTAGGCTGTTTGCTGTTTGGTCATATCGTAATAAATTTAAGACTCTAAGTGCCGGTACTTTTGCTGTCATTTGACAGCTATCAAAAATAATCAGGGGTTTGAATGTGCTCTTACCACATCATACTTTATAGGCCCTGGCCCATGCAAAACTTTGACAACGTATCAAATTCGTTAATCGAGAGCAAAAGTATCGGCCCTAAAACACAGCTTGGAATGCGCGCATTTCTGAACTCGGCTAGGCTATACCAAGGATATTAGTACAGGATTGCTCATCGGCCTCGATTTTTGGAATCAAGTTCATATGATGTAGCACCGTTGTCGACGTCATCAACTGTGTCGTTAGCGGTTTGCACCAGCGGTCGTAGTTAAGAATAAACATTTATGATGGAAAATAATATCTAATTTTGATCAACATAATAGGCAAAGACGAAGATGCAAACGAGATCTAAACAAGGGTTGTTAGAATGTTAAATAATGTACAAAAAGCCAAAAATGCATAAAGCAAAAATCAGCGTAATCATACGCTTTTTACCCCCTATAATTGTATTCCTTTCACACCTAGGAGGAGCTTCGGAATAGCTCCGGGGCTTCACGCGCTTATTCCTTTCGAAAAGTGTTTGTTGCACCACGCATCTGTTCCCTGCAAATTGGGGGCGACTGAACACCGGAGTGAGTAGCTCGAGTGTTACAAACTCTTGAAAGGAATACAACTTATGCAATCCAAACCAAGGAGAATACACAAGGAGTGCTTATCGGCCTCGTTTTTGGTAATCGCCGCCATATTGGTTTTCAACCATTAGATGTATTCCTTTCAAGAGTTTGAAATACTCGAGCTACTCGCTCCGGTGTTTAGTAGCCCCCGATTTGCAGGGAACAGATGCGTGGTACGACAAACACTTTTCGGAAGGAATAAGCGCGTTAAGCCCCGGGGCTGTTCCGGAGCTCCTCCTAGGTGTGAAAGGAATACAATTATTGCCGACGTCATAACTAAGGCCGGAGTCTCATGCATCCGTTTTCCGACGGAAGATGTCCGAAAAATTTTTTATTTTGACATATCTTCATACGATTATGTCAAAATAGAAGGTTTTTCGGACATCTTTCGTCAGAAATCGGATGCATGAGACGTAGGGTCTGTTCCCACAGAAGTCTCTGACAGTTTGCAAACTATCAGTAAGCATCGCCCGTACAACATGTACGCTGTCGTTCCAAGATTAATATGTAACTCGGCTGAGCCATTGTTTCTGACAGGTTGGAAACTGTCAGAGACTCCTGTGGGAACAGACCAGGGGCGAGTTCAGGAATGACACACCCAGTGTGAGTGTGACACCGGTGCGACGCCCTAGCTGTTCAAAAATGCTAGACGGTGCTATGGGCCCAATGGCCAATTGTCAATTCAGGCACACCAATAAAATCGCACTCGCACCCTGTGCGTTATTTCTGAACTCGGCCCTGTAGTGTGTATATCCGTGCGTTCGTTATTTTGGTCTGAGTTCTCCGAGCTTGACTTTACCGTTCGTTTATTTAAAAAGTGTACTCGGTGCAGCCTCATTTGCGTTCGTTTATTAAAATTTCCGGTACTTTTAAACAGCGTTCAACTGCTCCCTTCGCTCGCTGGTCACGTGATTACGGCTCCGCTCAGCTCGCTCTACACTTTGAGCAAAATACCGAACGCAAGGTATGTATCATCCTTGATCCAAACCACGTGACATTCAAGATGGCGTGGCGGCCACACATGAATCAAAAAACACAAAAAACTATCTAGTTTCTGCCCGAATTAATAGTTTATGTACCTAGTAAACAATAGTAGATTATACCACGAGTCAATAATGATAGCTATTATTCCCGAGGATTATTACGAAATGAGCGGCGAGGGAGTAACATTCCGAGGTAATAATAGCCATTATTGCGAGTAGTATACTCTACTTTATTTACGACAAATTAATTTATTTGAGATTTTCAATGAACAAATTTCATCCGTCTCATAATTTTCAATACAAATCCACAAGCACTACACGTTTGACACTGACACTTTTGTGGAATAATGACCATTAATCCCGCTACTCGTCATTAATCCCTGGAGGAATAACATATGTCATTATACTGCCAAAATCACAAATATAATACGCACATTATACATTAGTCGTAAATAAATATCTTATTCAATAATCAAAATCAAAACTTCAAGTAAATCTCGAAGCAAAATAATTAAATAATGCACGAAGAAACATATTCAAAACAAACTTATTGACCGCCACGCCATATTGAATTTTTCGTTTAGACAGATGGGATCATAACCTAACTTCTTTATTTATTTTCACATTTTTTTTATATTCTTTCCAAAATAACAGAGGAGGACTGAAAAGTAAAATGTCCTCTGAAGACGAAGACGTACCCCAATTATCAGCACATACATTTGCAGCCCTACAAGACTTTTATCGAGAACAAGAAGAGCGAGAGTCCAAAGAAATACAGGCAAAAGAACTTGCTCTAACTGGAGGAGTTGATTTCGATGAAAATTGGGTAAGGAATGGGATGAGTCAAGTTTGTAATATGAAATATCTCATAATTTTGCATCAACAAAACCAAATTTTGTACACCCACTCACTATTTAGCTTAAAGAAAAATAAACTACTTTGTTAAGGCCCGGTTTATTCATCCCCAAATAAACTTACTGATAACTGTCCAGCTCTTCAAAATCATTTTAAGACGCTCTAGAGCAATCTGTGTTATAACTTCCATGAACATATTAGAGTACTCTAAAACACTTTTCAATTTATTTAGAATTTCAATTAGAAGTATCAAATAGGGTTTAAGAATATTTGAGCGATTTCTTAAAAGAGATCTTAAAACATTCCAGCCCAGCACTTCCAGAGTGTTAAGCAAGCAACCAATTGAAAACTTTAGAAGGCATTTTGCTTCAGAATGGACCATTTTTAAACATTTTGAGAAGCTTTAGAGCACTTTAGAAACTATAGAATATATAATAAGCTTCGGAAGACTTTCAATTCAATTTTCAATCATCCTGTATTTGTTCTAGACAAATTGGAACTTGCAGGACATTGTAAAACGCTACGGAACACTTTAGAATCAAATTAGAATTTCAGAAATATTTTAAAAAGAACCAGAACACTCCCAAACTTTCAGGATCATTTAAGAAAGCTTGAGATTTTAAATCTTAGGTTTTGATCCAAGTTGATTATGCAAATATCTAAGATTATAGAGGCAAACTTGACTCACCGCGTAAAAGCTAAATTCAGGATTTTAAAATTAGCTTGTTTTCAGCAACTAAGTCAGTTTTGGTATGACCAAAATACTATTGACGGTTTAGCAGATCTTGCATTAGAATCAGTTGGAAAAAATAGTAAAATTGCTTTAGTTTCATGTCCTACATTGTACCAGGCAATAAAAGAAAAAGCAGGACCGGAGGCTGAAGGTTTGAAGGCTTAAAATTAATATCCATTTGTTTAAGTATTTATTTTAGTCACCCTATTTGAGTTTGATCAAAGATTTGCAGCTATTGGAAAAGACTTTGTCCTTTACGATTACAAGGCACCTTTGAATATTCCCAGAGAAAAAGCCAGCTACTATGATATAGTCCTAGCAGATCCTCCGTTTTTATCTGAAGAATGTCTTACTAAAACAGCTGTTACTATAAAATTTTTAACCAAAGGAAAAATAATACTTTGTACAGGTAACAAATTCTACTGCAATTTGAGTTTTTAGCTAATTGTTGTTTGTTTTCAGGTGCCACGATGGCAGAATTAGCCCAAAGACTTTTGGATCTTAGGAAAAACAAATTCGAACCTAAACATAAAAATAATTTAGCTAACGAATTTTGGTGTTTTACAAATTTTAACGATGACAATAAAAAATCTGGTTTATGATAACACTAAATTTTATTTGATTCAAATTTGTGATATGTTCAAAATGAAACTTGTTTCATTGATTATGTTTTTGCTTTTTTGCAATAGTGGGATCTAGTGATGAGCAATATGACATTTTTCCAGTGTAGTCAATACGTCTTTTGTCATTCATATTAGAGCAACGTTTATTAAGTTTTCATTTGTAACTTATATGAGAAAGTACTTATGCTTTCACATTACTATTTCAAGTATTGATCACAGTCTAATGTAATTCAAAAATCATAGTTTAGCTCATCACTAGTAAGATTCACTTCCCACTGCAAATTGTTGGTGTTGTGATCACTTGAAGCAAAATTATTATTGTGAAACCAAAATAATTGGTCCCCTCTAATTTAACATCCATATATAAGACTTCTTGTTATTGCTATTAATGCTTTACAATATAATAAACACAGTGCAAACTTAACAATACCATTTTACAACCATTGAAAAGCTAATTTTAAATTGCCATTATTTGATAACTCTTTTTTATATAAATTAAGTTTGATCAATCATATCATCCTATAACCTTTTATTTCAAAAATATCAGATATAATCCTAAATGTTTATTCCTTTAGAACACCTAAAGCTTCAGCAACAAATTTTTTCAAAGGCCACTTTTATCTAACAAATAATCCTAAATGCATAAACATTTACCATTAAATCTTAAAATAGGCCAAATTTCCTTCTTATTGCATAATAATTTAATAGACATAAACAAAGCGTGCAGTAACAAAAATAATTTTTTTTTCTTTGAATATGACCCTTATTACCCCTTTACCTACAGTCTTATTATATGATATAAATATTATCTGTAACATTTATATTCTTTGTCTATAAATTCAACCCTAATACACTCGGAGAAAGTTGTACTAACATACTACTGGGTTGCTTTGAAATTGAAAAATTTCTACTAGTGCAGTGAAACTAGACTTCAATAATCTTGGAACCCATATACATTACATTATAGACCATTTATTTTGTTCAGTAACTGAGTCTATTTGAATAACACTTCTGATCCTTTCAAATTTGGTTCCCATTCAGTATAAGTGGGTTCCAAGGTGGAAACCTTATTGCACTCCAATCAAATATTACATAATAAGATACTGATATTTTATCCTAATGACCGTTATTAAGTATAGAAAAACTGATATTTTGGTCATACATTTATTTACTTAAATTGCTCACTAAAGTTTCATTTTTGAAAATTTCTGGAGGTTTTATGGTGAAAAAAATCAAATATAAACACAGACTTCATTAGATACTACAAATTATCATCTAAATAACTTACACTCTCCTCTTCCATAACAGTGCCAGTTTCTTTTAAAGCTCGCATCGTCAACCGATCAATCTCATTCAACAAAAACTGAGTGTCAGTATCAATAGTATCGCACTCTGATTGTACAGAATTATGGACACTGTCCCATTCGAGACTATTAGCTGATGAAGACACTCTAGAATAATCAGAATCTGTGGTATGCATTGCACATTCTGTATGCAGAGGACTTTGGTTTGGTTGTGTTGTTAGGGTGTCTTCAGGAAAAATTGAAGTGGCCCTGAATTAGGTATTGTTTTTAGATAGAGCAATAATTTCACATAAAATTAATTACCAAGAACTGCAAGAAGGTTCGTGTTTTATTGAAATGGGTAAAGTTTCATGTTCCCATTCTAAATCTAAAGAATTATCTGGAGTTGAGGTGTTGGTTCTTTCTAAAAGGGCACCTGCATCCAAATATTGTAATTGTATGTCTTTACTGATGTAGGAACTAGAAATATTTTATAGATTTATGAGTTTATTAGTGTTTCTTATATAACTTAATACCTTTGAGGTGATACTCGTTGTGATTCGGGAAGCCTTTGATAAGACAGTTGAGGATTTAATAATCCTTCAACCATATGAGAAGTTTGTTTCTAAAAATAGATAAAGATTGAAATTACATGGAATTTAAGCCTAAATTTGTAAAATAGGTGATACCTTTTTCCTATTTTTTCGCCTTTGAAAAAGTCTTGATAAAAAACTCCTAAGCAGCACAAAATTGAAAAATCTATTACCCTATGAAGATTTATTTATTTATTTATTCCATTCAACAATATAATACACAGCAAGAAGATGATGATGAAACAATATGCATATAATGGACATGAGCGTCTGTGTGAATGCATATTGGGCTCATCAATAAATTTTACAATTAAATTAACCTATAACATAAAAAAAATAAATAAATTGACACATAATACCAATAAAGGCCGAGAAGAAAAAAAGAGAAAAAATTAAAAAAAAAACAAATATGTTTTACTGTAATTTAATGAAGCGTTCAATGGTATTTGTGTTATCCCTAAGATAGAAAAATAAAACTCACCTTTTATTAAGTTCCCCAGTAGAAGCATTCTGGAGGAATAAAATTAAAAAATATTCAAATTTATAGAATTAAAAAGGAGGCTTGATATAATAGGTCTGTTTCTGCAGAAATCAGAAACCAGTTAGAGTGAATTTCATTGGTTGAAACTACACTTTATTTTTTTCCAAGATAGATTTTGACATTGAAAACTTTGAAACATAAACAATAACGCTGGACCCTGACTGGTCGCAAAATGAGGTGTTTCTGCAGGTTGAGGTCAGTTTTACAATAGCGACCAATAAGCGGCATTGTTTATGTTTCAAAGTTGACAATGCCAAAATCTATCTTGGGAAAAAATAAAGTATAGTTTTCTGACTGTTTTCATCCAATGAAAATCGCTCCGACTGGTTTGTGATTTCTGCAGAAACAGACCTATTACTTACCTCTTCAATGAGAAATGAAAAGTCTCCTCTCGACCCTGGCAACATGTTAAAATTGCCCAGGCGTTTGTTACGTTTACAGGAGGCAGGCAAGCAAGTGGTGAGGCAGTTTCCCATTGTTTCGGCAGCCCCCAAAGGACTGCATCGATGTTAACAACCCCCATTTGGGGCCAAGCTGCACAGAAAATCCGTGGTTACTCAATTATTGTTGATTTTCGAAAACATTTTCTGTAGGATACTTAAAAAACAATTCGCCCTGGTAATTTGCAAAGTTGGAAATCGGTCAAACAAACCGGAAAAGCCGCAGGAAAAACGAAATTAAAAGAATGACTACCAAAATAGAAAATCCCAACATCAACTAATCGGGGCTTTGACTAATCCAATGGATTTTTTGACATTACTGACAGTGACATTTTATGACATTGATATTTCACTCTAGGTGCTTTCCAGTGACCCATTTGAGTTACTCCTGAGCAGCTCAGGAGTGCTCCACAATTGCTTTGCGCGTTCCAGTGCTTAGAGTGTCGTACACTTGACTACTCATTTCTGTTATCCCCTGCCCCCTCGTGCACCAACTTTTATTTCGGTGTTCCATGCTCAGTCCGAAATGGTGGGGGTTAAGACGACAGCGTGCCAGTGCTGCTTATGTCGAACAATTCAAGAGCGTCACACTCCAGGAGCACGATAATCTGAGAATTTAGGCACTGGAAAGCAGCTTCTGTTCGGTTCGGTTTTTCTCGTTCACTTGATATGCCGGTTGGGGTGCGTTCGAATATGGGTTAAATTTTACTTAAGGGCGAGAGTGGGTATATGGTCACGTGGTCAGAAGAGTAAATTTTATATGGTGTGTTTTCGAACGCACTGGTGTATAATTAACCTGACATATAAAAACATAAATCATGCTTAGGGAGGGTATTATAAAACTGCTTTGACAGTAAACTTGAAGTTAACTTTTTGAGTAACATGTAATACCAGAAGTTAACTTCAAGTTAACTCTCAAAGTAGTTTTATAATACCCGCCCTTAGTCAGTGTTCTGAGCATTTCATTTATCTGTTCGTAAAGTGCGTTTTTTTTTTAAACTGACATTAGGTTGGCAATACAATGTAAAATTGTCAATGCTTTCAAATTTTTCATGTAGAAAAGGCTTGTGTTGCCAACATAGTTACTAAATTTTTGACTTGGGGAATTATCTTTAAAAAAAAAAACAGATTTTACCTATTTTATCATCTTCCGAGAAACGGAAAATAAAATGAATATGTCTCAGTAAACCTGAAAGTAGTAGAATGAAAAAACTGACAAGAATGACAGGAGTGAAATTTACCCAGCGGCCAAGGTTCCTAAAGTGCCTTATGGAGATTTGCATTATGTTCAGGCATACAGATGACGTCATAAAAGTTATCAGGCAACCTCCCTCTTTTAAACAACCTTGCCCAGCGGCAGAGTTGGTTAAGAAAGAGTGCACACTGGGTAGTACCCCGGATATTTTCAAACTAGCGTGAAAGACAACCGGAGTTTATACCAATTCATTTTCGAACGGCAGGAGTACGTTTAGAAATGGAGTGTGACGATAGACTAGTTGTTGGCCGGGTTCCGACGTCATCACTTAGAGTGCACTCTGGGTGCGCTATTTCTGAACGTATTGGGGCGTTGCGGTTAATGTCAATAATGGGCACTTTCCAAATTGACCTTTTGTTTAGACGCCATATTGCGGTGCGCGAACATAGTTGCCAAAAGAAGAAAACAAAAATTGTTAGCGGGCTGCCAACATCAAAAACCCAGAAGTCATTTATTTTAATTTGTCAAAAAAAATGAATGTGTCACATGAACTAATCTACGACAACCCTTTACTCCAAGTTGTGACGTATTCGATAACAAAAGTATGAACCCTCGAGAAACGAACCTTAGATATTTTATTATTTCTATTCTGCCCAATACAAGTTAAAATTGATGGCTTTTCAGTTCAAAAACATTTGAAATAGGCGGCAAATTTGAATTTTAGATATAATTTATTCAGTAACTTTTGTTTTTAATGTTGACAGTACGCTAGTAATTTTTTTTTTCTACTTTTGGCAACCATGTTCGCGCACCGCAATATGGCGTCCAAACAAAAGGTCAAGACCGGTTCAATAAACCGGTAGCTGTCGAAAAATTCCGGTAAAAGTTATGTAAAAGTCCGGTGACATGATTTTTCTGATGCATTTTGGAACGCTTTGGTGTGTTAAAGACGTTAAAGTTTGGTTATGACGGTTGTGTTGCAACAATTTAACGAACGACTGCCGATAGTGCCCATTCTAATGGCTCATTCAAAGCATTGGATGTACCATTGTCACCAAAAGTATCTGGGACAAAAATAATGCATAATAATCTCCTGGACTAATTGTACTGTCATTCATTTCAATGCATTTAATTCATGGTTTGACAATAATATTTATATAATAGTTCAACAGCTAATATGATGCTGTCCCAGTTACTTTTGGTGACGATGGTACGTCAAAAAAAAAAAAAATGTCAAAAAATCTCCAAGCGAAAAAACCGACAAAAATTCCCGGTGGATCCGGTGCCTCACCGGTTTCAAACAGCTGATCATTCCAATCACTTTTGGAACGGACGATTTGGTTCAACCGGTAAAAAGTCGGTACATTTTAGAACGTTTTGGTGAATAACTATTATACCGGTTCAGAAACCGGTGAATTTTGGAAAGTGCCCAATGTAAAATCACGTCAAACCTGGTAAAAACCGCTGGGCGTTTTTCAACCCAGTCCCTGAGTGGGGTAATTTGGGCGCACGTCAACTCTCGATTTCTGAACGATTCCAGCGTAGCGCTCCGAGTAAGCACCTGTTAATTTATGAACGGCTTAGAGTAATTCTAGGGTCACTCTCACACCAAGAGTACTATTTCTAAACGTAACCCTGGTCCCTGGTGTGCACTCGGTGTGACGCCCAGACTGATTTCGAACGCACTCTTGATATTATGGCATGCTAAATGGATAAATCGAGTAGCCGCTGGAGTGCATTTAGAAATGGAATGTGAAGGTAGAGTAGTTTTTTGTCAGAGTGTTCAGACGTCATCACTTGGATTGCACTGTAGGTGCGCTATTTCTGAACGTATTGGGGAGTTCCGGTGAATGTCAACGTCGAACCCGGTAAAAACCGCATGGCATTGTTCAACCCAGTCCGAGTGGGGTAATTTTGGCGCATACTTGACATGTCGATTCTCGATTTTTGAATGAACGATTTAGGCCCAGTTGTACAGACTTGGTTCAAAACAGAGTTCAGCTGAACTCGACTGGTACTTGAACTTCCCCATTTGAAATGCATTGCTGTCAAAATTGATAGAATTTGATTAATAGCTGACAGCAATGTATTTTAAATGGGAAAGCTCAAATACCAGTCTAGTTCAACTTGAACTTTGTTCTGAACCGAGATTGTACAACTGGGCCTTAGAGTTACTCTAGGGTCACTCTCACACCCAGAGTGCTCTTTCTATTGTTATTTTGATTAAATTTGTAATTTTTTGATTCATGCTTGGCTAACCATTGACTATAACGTTTACTATTATTGGGCAATTTCCAAATTTCACTGATAAATTGACCGGTGAAATGAACCGGTAGCTGTCCAAAAATTTCAATAAAAGTTAGATGAATCCGGTTACATTTTATCTGATTTTTCTGATGTATTTTGGAATGATTTGGTTTTTTGAAAAAGTTTGGTTGTGTTGTTTGGAATGTAAGGTGGTGTGTGGTGTTCTGGGGTGCCGGTTTGGTGAGTAACTATTTAACCGGTATCGCACCGGTTCAGAAACCGGTGCATTTTGGAAAGTGCCCATCCGGTCAGCAGAATTTTTAAAATAGTAGGCAATTTTTCGCGAGGATTAACCAAGCATACTCGATTATGCTCAGATGTTATGTGTCAATTGTGTCATTCTCCCCTAACTCCCTCACCATCAAATTCTGGGATACTCGAGGATCAAAAACACTCAACTTCTCCTGTGAGAACAGGCCGAAAATCACCTTCTCTACATTTAAGATCGATGAAAAAATTAACTCAGACTGAATCGCAAGCATTCCATCGAGGTCTGCGGGTGACGTCATCACTATAAGCTGTTGATAGTGACGTCACTCGCAGGCCCAGAATTAGATGGGGAGGGAGTTAGGGGAGTATGACACAATTGACACAACATCTAAGCATTATCCAATTAATCAGATTATGTTTCAGGCTGTTCATTTATTTTGTACTTGCTACCTGCTCGAAAAATCAGGAAGATCTGCTATTTATGAGCCTATTATTATATGGGAGTTATGGGAGAAGTGAACGCCGATCAGCTGCTGAGATCTGCTTGAAGCAAGAACAGCAGTACAAATGAATAGCCTATTTGATTATCCTCGCCAAAAATTTCCCAGTGTATTGGTATATACATGAGGTGTTCTCTCGCGTCTCAAAGTTTTGAAACATTTTTCAAAACTGGTTGAAAACAGTTTCACAATGACGTCATTACTTTTCGGCGCGAGAAAATGGTTTAAAAGCGTGGATTGGATTGTATTTCGGAACGGTTCGAACCAATTTTGTGTGACGTCGTGGGTCCATCGCGAGAATAGGTATACTATTTCAAACCTGTTTTGAACCAGTTTCAAAAAAGTGAAAGCGAGAAAACAGCTCTGGTGTTCCACCGGGAATCAAATCAATCAATAGGTCTGTTTCTGCAGAAATCACAAACCAGTCAGAGTGAATTTCATTGGTTGAAATTAGTTCTGACTGTTTCTGACTGTTTTCCACCAATGAAATTCGCTCTGACTGGTTTGTGATTTCTGCAGAAACAGACCTTATATAGTGTGTATCAGCCACAAAATGAATTCCTGAACGTTAAAATCACCATTCTACATTAAAATCGACGAAAAGATTAACTCACAAGCACAGCCTGAATCGCAAGTGCAAGTAATCCATCAAGGTCTGCGGGTGACGTCGCCACTATATGCTATCGATAGGGGTGACGTAACCCGCAGACCAGCTGTCGACTCGAGATCTGGCGAACGTAGGCCTTATTAGGATGAGCAAGCCTATTTGGTGGAGTGTTCTTGCCTATTGTCCTATACCCACCTACCTATCTTCAACAGTTTCAGAATCAGAAATATTGACAGTTGAAAATAGTCTTTTTTTTGCAACTTTGACAGGCTGTAAATCCTAAACGGTTAATTTTATAGCAAAGCCGATCTAACATTCTTCGTTTTTCATTAACTTGATCCTACTTTAGTACTTAATCCTTGATTCAAAATTCCGGTTAAATTTAAACTCCGGTAGTATTCAGAGTTGGTGTCAAATGATAGTTTACAGAATAGATGAGAATGTAGTAAAATTAGCCGTTTAGGTTTAACAGCCT